TCTACCTTCAACCAATGACATCATCAATTTAGCCAATATATCATAGTTTCAAAAGGTGGAAGGATTTACCGGGATGATTTATTGGGTGCAAATATGCTTTCAATTTGGTGCAACTATAGTTTCAACTGAGTGCTTGGTACAATAGGTGGTATATTCATAGATGCCCAAATTGCTTCAATACTGGTAGATCACTGTAAATGTACAAAATTAAGTACTTGAATAACATTGGATTTCTCCAACTAATGCCATCGTCACCTTTGCTCTGACTTTCAGCACCGGTGCCCGGACGATGAGTCAAATTCACATTCAGTTTTGATCAAAATACTCATCAGCTGGGCACTGGCGTGAAAGTTCGGAGCAAATGTGACCACGGCATTATGATCTCATACTCACAATAGTCCTACCTTGGCTCAGTTTTTTTACCCTTCTAAAGTACCTGTGTCAAGACCATATGCTACTAAAATGAGGAAAAACTCAATGTAGCAATGATCAAAATCGGCACTGAAATCCCCACCCCCAAACCCCTCAACCCTAAACAGACATCAATCTTTTGATGCCTTCCCTAACTTAACAGGCTTAAGCTTACAAATTTTTAAAATCGTTGGATTAGGCCTAACCATTCAATTTATCTAGAATATTTACAAAACTTGCACTATACATTGTAGTCATCCCTAAATAGCCTTGGCTTATTTTATAACATAATTTATGCATCATTTTTAAAAAGCAGCATTAGCATTCAATTTATCTAATATTTACAAAACTTGTACTGTACATGTACATTCCCAAATAATATTGACGATACTTCACATACTTATGTAGAGGGTTATTACCACAATCTGAACCTACATAATATCTACATAGATTCCATTCAGTGGGCTTACGGTGGGAAAAGGGCAGATTCCTCTATTATAACAAATGTAGGTCGTAGGATCCTCAACCAGTAGAGTAAACCAACAAAGAACACAACACAAAATGTTGACAGAAAGAAGGACATACAAACCGATAAATGTAGCCTTGCCCAAGTCGGAATTGTCTTTTATATATCTTGATTATCAGTTAAACATGTTAAATACTGGTGGTGAAAATACTATTTAAAAAAATAAAAAGACACAAACTTAGGCAAGGCTAAATTAAATAATTGGACAATTGGGTGAATCCATAGGCTCACCACATTATCCAAAAAGCATTAAGTTTTATCTAATATTTACATTTGGCAAAAAATTGCACAGTTTACACAGGTAAGTACAAAATAACAAGCATAAGCTTACATATAAAACAACACTGGTACAGTTTGCGTGTGAAAGCTAATAAAGATGTAACAAATAAATTGTTCAGACTCTAATGTCTGGGTCACATTTGCTCCGATCCATCGGCCGGCGCCTGGCCGATTGAGTGTTTTGTTCAATATTGTAGTCAATTTTGAACAAAATACTCAATCGGCTAGGCGCCGAAGTGAAAATCGGAGCAAATGTGACCAATAAGCAAGCACCTATTCACTGACTTTACTCACTAATAAGCCATGCCACAAGCATTTCTAATAATCAATCTACAAATGACTATATACAACTTACTACATGCGATTTATAAATGTACACACTTTTAAGCCATTTTAGTTTATTTTTTAACAGCTAGGTTTTGGATGAAAGATTCTTGGTGGGGTATTAGAGTTCATCCAGTTGTTTCACATTACAGTAAAACTCGTCTTATCCAAATAATTTACCTTGTATTTGCGAATGCAACTAACGCCTGTCGGCTACTGGATAAACCTACTATTTTATGACCAAGTCATTTAAATATGAAAGGAATAGTGGCAGGTACTATTTATATTTAAATGAGTTACCTATAAAATAGGAGGTTAATCTGGTAGCCGACAGGTGTTAGTTGCATTCGCGAATACAAGCTTATTCTAATAGGCCTAGACTATGCAGCATATTTAAAAGTTCTTATGAATAAAGTTTTTATTCACTTCATTTGGTGGGTCATTACATGTCGTCGCGTGAGAATAACTTTGTACTAACTGCCATTTTCAAAAAAATTGAGATAGACATGGAATTTTACTATTTGAAACACAGGCTTTCATCTCAGATACATGCCCCATCTCAATTCCCTCTCATTAAGCTAGAATTCAGTGTGAAATTGTACCATCTCCAGACAAACAGCTTATTTCTAATTTCAAATTGTCATATCTGATATCAACTGTTTCAACCAATCAACTCTCTAAGAATTAGTCATGTGACTTGCAAAACTTGGAGTTATAACAATCTTATATTAAAACGAAGTATGCCAATATGCATGTTATTGTATCTAGAATGAAATAATGTTTTGTAACACAATACCATGCCAGTTTGCATGCCTGGCCTTTCATGTTTTAGTTTTAGAACTATTACAAGTAGATCAAAAAAATAAAATGATACAGTATGTGTAATCCCATGCATATTCAAATTATATGCCCTCAATTACTCTTTGTATTATGGATGCTCATTGGATTATTCATGGCCACATGATATGAAATAGAATTACTAATTTCCTCGAAAACCTAAATCCTTGCTACCAGGGAAGATGAAAAGTACAAATGACCAGTTAATTAGATCATGTGAGCAGTCAAAAGTACCCTTTATCTTCCCTGCTACCAGGTCTTATAGGGGTTTGAATGGCCAAATGCAGTAGAAATGCATATACGAAGCTGTCATCATTAAATGTTGAAAATGAAAGACTACTTATTTGTTTCTTCAAATAGAGTACATAATAATAGGTTATATACTAGATATAGTAATCAAAACAAATAGTAACTGTCATATTTTGCACTACATTGCTCAAAGGCAATCACTGTCTGTATACTATTGAAATCTCTTTCAAAATGATGTTTTATAGTTTGTGGAAAAAAGCTAAATATATTTAAACTAGCTTTAACTTTTACTGACCATACACTATATCAATAAGGAGTTATCTTTATGTTAGTGTAGTCCCTAAAAACACTTATTTTATTTTCTCTTCATCTATGATTTACTTTGCGCTTTTCACTGAACATCTGGGATCTTTTTAGTTATTTTATTACTAGTATGTTTTTCAGATTTGTCCTTTCTTTTGCATTTTTGGAATCATTGTTTTTAGATCATCTACATTTTATTTTGGAAAAGTAACAAATTGGTTCAATTTCTTTACAAAGAGCCACTCTTAGTCTCCACTTCTACAATTGCTTCAATTCCCAATTGTACTCCACAAAGTAGCAAACAACAGAAAATGAATGGATAATGATAGCTGCATCCCAATGAACAAAATGTGATTACCTAAATCGAGGTTTCATCACTTTCATTAATCTAAAATGAATTAGAAATTATTTTTCTATTTTCAAATTTCTTCCATGTGCATGTAATAAAAATTGGTTATTTCTTAGGCCCTAAGGATCTGAAACCTGCTGGTCAAAATGGAATTACGGACCAGTTGCAATGTTATTCTCCTATACCCAGTGAAAAAATCAACTGGTCTGTATCAAAAATAACCTGATAATGACCAGCGGACCGGCCCTTAGGGGCTACATTGTAATGTGCTGGGAGGTTTAGGCTACAGGGTTTGTACCCAGGGAAATATGTGGGGGACCGTATTGGCATCATTGGTTTCAATGCATTGTACTTTTGCCTTAGTTTCAAAGGCAATAAATTCTTTTTGAAGGGTGTCCTGAGATTCCAAAATTAAGAAATAATTGTACTTGTTTGAGAAATTGATTTTAAAGTTTTATAAATTGAATTTTCTTTATTTTATTAAATAATATTCTTTGGTTTTTGAAGATTTTTTTACAAAGCAAAACATTATTTTTCATTCTAGATACAATAACATGCATATTGGCATACTTTGTTTTAATATAAGATTGTTATAACTCCAAGTCACATGACCAATTCTTAGAGAGTTGATTGGTTGAAACAGTTGATATCAGATATGACACTTTGAAATTAGAAATAAGCTGTTATTCCGGTGGGAAATTGTATCAACTCCATTTCCATAGTTTTAAAAAATGATCTTGTAAATTGTTTCAAGGTATGATATTTCATATAAGATATCTCTAGGGTGAGACCAGGTGACATACAAAAAATCAAGTTTCACATAGCAATACTAAGTAAGATACAGACCTCTAAACTTTCAAACCTTGATTTCTCAGTTTCGTAAAAATGTGAGATAGTACAAAGTTATTCTCATGCGACGATGTATATAAATTAATGTATTTGTCTTCAATTTGGCAGTACTTAATTTGGCAATTTTAGGAAATCTGACGTATTGATGTCTATATAAATTGGTGGCTTTTCAAGGGAATAGGTCTCATATCTATAGTACATACATGTATATATTAACCCACCTCCCTGTTCCAGTTTAATATACTTATGTTGTTGATTTAACAATTTAAAATGTTCTAAATTTAAACAATTTAAACGGCCCGGGCATGTTATGACAGGAAGATCTGGGAACGAAAAACAAGTTAAATTCCCACCGATTTTGGCGATTATTTAATCTGGCAATTTTTTGACTCGCCAAATTAAAGACAAATACAGTACTAGTAAACCTTATTTATCTTTATTTTTGGTTTAATCTTTGACTCATGTGTTTGTCCCAAATCTTTGCCAAAGCAAAATGGGCGAATGGCTATACTAAAGCCTAACATATACCAATGGGGCACAGTGGGACCTCCATAGATTGAACACTGTATGGGACCTCAAGGGACTCTATGGGACTCTGCCCCATTGGTGCATGTTCGGCTTTAGCCTCAATATTACCTCAACAAAATAATCTCACAATTCTAAAACATGTGTTCCTAATTCACTTGCACATGTCAGTGTATTTCAAAATACTGTATACAACGTTTAGCTGCATCTTTATGTATAGGATTTTTTCTCAAGTGGTCGCAAAATTCTCATTGTGACAATTCAGACCAAAATTGGCAAAAATATGCCTTTTCATGAATTTTCTCATTTTCAAATGGGTGCAAATGGATATTTAGGTGGGTGCAAGCATGTTTCAAAATCTCAGGTGGATGCTGCGCCCACTTGCTGTAATGCTGGGGATATCACTGCAGATAATGGGCATCCCAAACACTTATACATGTATACAGTAAATGCAGCACACTTATATACAACTGGCAAAATGAAACACCTGGCGACAAAACACAATCGAAATATATGGCTGGCAAATGAAGCAAAGGAAAAATGAAAATGTTCCTGCCCATATTTCTTTTTAAATCATTAACTTTAACTACATGACAATTGGAATTTCAAAGATTTCTAAGTGAAGATTGGCAAGATGATTTTTTCTTAAAAATTAACTCTCATCCTCCTAAGCAGGTGTCCAGAATCCGTACCTCCTTCTTCTCCCCCCCCGCTATAACCACTTTGGAAGCGCCCGATTTAACTGAATCACGTGATATAATTATGCGCTATGACTTCTGATTTCTGCCAATCAGATTGTGAGTTCTTAATCGTGGGAAATGCTAACTGCTTATCGCAGGGGATAATAAGAAAGAATATATTCTGGATTTTGAAGCCCTGTGATCGGAGGATGTTAACTCTTGGCCTATCATTTTATCTTGGGCACATCCATGAACTGCATTCCAGAACTGTATTAATTTTGACATCTATCCTGTATTTTCTTTTTTTATTGGCATCAAGGCATTCTTTACTCTATTCAATTTCATAGGACTCTTCGGAGTCAACTTCAGTTGCATTTTATCAGTATATGAATACACTGCCATAGGTGGCGCAATATCACTACATGTTGTCATAGTAACATGGACAAATTGGTAATCAGCTGTGAAATCGAAGGAACAGCCTAAATAGTCTACTCCCGTTAGGACAAAAAGTTTTGTCGCTGGTGGCATCACAAAGTTAAACTGGAGGCGGTCTTCAAGAATACGGAAGCCCCCGTAACCATAAAGTAAACTCTGGAGGAATCCACCCATTCCTGTTTGAAAGTTTTTAGCACCCTCACCAACAACTTTCTCCTTCCACACCTGAAATCAAAAGCTTGGGGCATGTATGGCAGAAAATTGCTACAAAGTGGTTGCACAGGATAAAGATTGTAAAATGTTTGGAACAATCATTTCAATAAATATTGGCCAATTTTGTTAAAATGTAATATCTGGAAAAGTATTTCATTGTACGAGGGTCGTCCTGGACTAATTACTCTAAATCCAAGTGTTTTTTAAGATTCATAAGACCGTGACTTTATCAGTGAAATGTTGAGACAACTTCTAATTGATAGACAGAATTAAAAAGGAAAACATTTTGTTATTTAATGTTTAAAAGTTCATAAACTTGAGTGGTGAAGGGCACCCAGAGCACATTTTATTTTTATATTAAAAATCTTAAAAATCAAAAGTTTGTGCACTGGCTTAGGTGACACGAATAACTGTAAGTGCATGGATCAAAAAGGGTAACATTAAAAAAAGTTACAAGCCTAAATAGGATTATAATGCATTTAATTGTGTGGAGTTTACCACAAGAAGTACCTCATCTTTATTTCAATTCAATTCAATTCAATTTCAAAATAATTTATTTCAGTTTTCATTACAAAAATTACAACATTATACAGGCTATGACACCCCAGGGGGTGTATGACTGCCCATAATTAAATTTACAATAAACATGATTAACTGTTTAAATAGTGGCTAAAAAGTTTTACTGTAAAAATTTTACCATAAATTGGACCTCATTCTATCCTACCATATAACATTATCTTACCATAAGTAGTACCTTATCTCACCATTACTGATTCCTTACTATGAAGCTTATCTCAATGGCATTGTTCCCTTAAGTTGTTGTTGACAGGATATGTAGGCTCACTGTAGCCACTGTGTGAATAATTTTGGGCATATTTGAAAATTATTTATGAATTTTCGTATTTGGTGTGAGTGGGGTGGAGTTTCTTGCTGTGAAACTGTTTCTTTTGCCCATTGTGATCCATGCCGATCCCCACCGTTTGCACCAAAGTATTCACACGGTGGCAAATGGTGAGTCTACATCGCCTAATGTGACAGCTCCATTAAAGATTATTCAAGCTTACCATGAATGGCCTATGGGCATTTGTGTAGCCCCACTTAAACATTTTATCAGCATTTTCTGTGTCTCCTATATCCAACCAGTTGATGGCAAACATGCTCCATGTCATGCATGGACCACTCATGTCTGTCACCTGGAACAATTTATAAATCATTTATTCCTTATTTCTTAAGCTTTTTAAATTAAGAGATCTACAGTAAAACCTATGTTTATTGAACATTTTTTGCAGAGAAAAAAATGTTCGGTGTTGGTAGGTGTTTACTACAGCAAGGGTAATTTATACAGAAGTCAGTAGAGCATGTATGGAGGAAGGGTGTCTACTAGAGACAGGTGTTCACTAGAGAGAGGTGTCCACTATGACAGGTTCTACCGTACTTATTATAGGTCAATGTTGAACTTCTCCTTTTTCAAAACCATCTGCTAGATGTCAGTCATTTCTGCAATCTGATTTTGGGGTATGACATTGGTATTGACCTTTGGTGACTTTTTGATGGCACTTGGGAAATTGCTGTTCAATTTTACCGTCTAATATTTTATCAATTATATATTCTTAAGAATATTTGCTGAGGAATTTGTTTGAATGTATATTGAAATGAGAAAATCAATTGTACAATTTCTGCATTTGTAGCAAATGTAAGGTAGTGACATTTCACATTTTAATGCCTGGTTTTTATTTAAATTCAATTTCAATTCAATTTATTTATTTCATAATTCTTATATAATATACACTAAAAATATAAAAATAAAACTTGAATCTTCATATTTGAGTTGACTGAGGTCTGAGATAACTGAATTGAAAAAAAAAAATTAAGTCCATACCTTTCTGTAAATATTGAGATCATTTTTCCTGACTGACTCAGGCATATCCATGTTAAGAGGGTATCCCAACATCACTACATCAGCCTGCTTTACTTCAGTACCTAGAAGTAAATATAAGCTTGTAGATTACATAATAAACACAAGCATAGCACATATCCTTATTTGGCCAAATATATGTCACATGGTATGTAATAAAGGGCAATTCTCACTTCCAAATTTGTTGATTTTTTTCCAGTGAAAATGAAACAAATTATAGTCCAGCATATTTGAAAACCTCATTTTGCAAACTTAAAAGTTTATCCAGATGCTTAACTACTAACCTACATTCAACACTACATTGATTTCATTATAAGCCTGCTGTCAAGTACATGTAAACTAGAAATCACTCTTTCCCTTATGTTTGCTGATGACCACTTACTCAAAATACCATGTATTATTGAAAAGTAACAGATCACAGGGGCAAATCCAGTGAATATTTAATATTCACATTGCTATGAGCTTGATTTTCGGGGTGGCTCATAATTTTAAATTGAATGACTGCATACCTTCAACATAGCCATCAAATTCTGGGTGATATTGCTTCTCTATGTCGAATGGAATATACATCTCAGAGGCAAGCCTTGAATAACCAGATGCAGTATTTAACCGTTGCTGTATCATCCTATATGCTAAGTCTGGCAGCTCTAAGGCTAGTTTGGCAGCATAATTTGTATATGCAGAGTTATTGACCGGGAAGTGGTATTCATCTGGGGGCATAACACCTGAAATTGAGAAAACATGTGATATTCATCAGGGGGCATAACATTTGAAATTAAGAAAATATGTGATATTCATCTGGGGGCATAACACCTGAAATCTGGGGGCATAACATATGAAATTAAGAAAATATGTGATATTCATCTGGGGGCATAGCACCTGAAATTAAGAAAACATGTGATATTCATCTTGGGGCATAACATCTGAAATTAAGGAAATATGTGATATTCATCTGGGGGCATCCCCGCATCATACCCAAAAAGGCGACAAAATGTTATATTCACCTAGGGCATTTCAATCGAAAAATTCAGGCGAATTCAGGGCTTCTCAGGGGGGTCTTGATTGTGCTTTCCTACAGCAACATCCCTCTTTAATGGGAGCTCAAAAGCCCCCATTTAATTAAAGCTCCCATGAAATCAATAGCAGGCCTGTAGCCAGGATTTGCCAAGAGGGGGTTCAAAAATTTCCAGGGGGGTTCACCTTTGACAATTTTGGCCCAAATATAGCTAAAATCACTTGGGAAATGCTCAAAATGGTGAAAAACTGCATGATTTTGAAAGAATTTTTGGCCAGGGGGAAGGGGGGAGGTGCGCCAGAACTCTGCAAACCCCCCCCCCCCCTGGTTACGGGCCTGTTTAGTATCACCCTGGAGAATTGCAAACAAGAAAATAACTTTGCAAATTAAAATTATTCAGTCTAAATGAATTTCAAAAAGTTTTTGAAAGACTATTACTTAAGCACAATTATAATATATGCGTCAATACAAGTACGTTAATGTCAAATCAAATTTGAATTTGTTGTAAAATAAGTTGAAAAATAAGGAAGAAACTGACTCATTAAACAAAGTTAATACTTTTTTAGTTATTGAAACTGTTGAAATAGCTCACTAACTAAAATAAAAACATGAGAATAATTTTCAATACAGACAGGCCAGCAAATCTGCTTATGTCATCTAATCTGCAATCAGCCTGGACAAGAAATCAACATTTCAAATGTAATACCTGGTATTATTAAACAACGGAAAATCCTTACCTCTAATTTCATTTCGCTTTTCCGTCATGTTATGAAAGAGCCTCGAAACCCAAAATTCTGCAAGTGCAATTATGACGTCACCTCCTTCTCCTACGACATACTCCTGGTCCCTAGTTAGATAAAGGTAGTGTTTGATGGCTAGGGCAATATCTGCGTTGATGTGAACTTCATACTTGGAGCAATTTTTTGAAGGACTCACTTCAACACCTGTTAAACAATAATATGGAACAATTAAGTAAAACATGCCCAAAAGTTCAGTGCCTGTTTGAGTTATTATCGCTCATTTGTGGATAAATAGCTTCATAGGCTCATCTGTGAATTCTGGGGTATAACCCCTCTTAGTGATCATACAATGACTGGAAACTCTTGTCGCACATTTTAGCCAATTATATGGTAAAAATTCTGGGCCCCAGATATACATATAGGTATATCAGTTGATAATTAGCAGGGATGGTAATTGACAGAGTCTGAATGCCAATGGCTGCAATTTTCACTCTTGGCAGTGGTTTTGGAAATGTTCTGAGTGCCAGGATGTTTAATTGTGGCATGTTTTCGGTCTTAATCATGGATGCTGATATCTGGTCAATGAATAGAGGGGTAAACATGGAATCCATTTTTCTTAAAAGTTCACTCCTGGAGTTATCTAAGAGTATTGTAGTAATACATGGTATTCTCAACCTTTAAGGGGGATGAACATTATTATACGTCAACCTTTAAGGGGGATGAACATTATTTTACAAGTCCAAATCAAGAAATGGCCAGCAAAACTTAATTACAAATATCTTCGTACCAGTAAAAGCACTTTCCCATGGGTACTGCGCACCCTTGTAGCCATTCTGTTGTGCATTGAGCCTGGCCTGCTTTAACATGCGGGTTCTCGTCTCTAGTATAAGGGGGGCTAGCTCCCGATGCAGCAGGTTGATTGGAGGGAACATCCATGTCTCTTGATCCCAGAATATATGACCATTGTAGTCCTAAAGGTAAAGAGAAAATATATGAAGGCCAAGCAGGCCTATAGGCTATAGCCAGCTTTTGCTGAGGGGAGGGGGGGTTAAAACATTCTAGGGGGTTCACTTTTGACCATTTTGGCTCTCTTGAAAGGTGCTCAGAATGGCGATAAACTCAGTGGTTTCAGTAACTTTGTGTACAAGAGGCAGATGAAAAATACAAGAGGCGGCATTCAAAATAACCAATTTTACGCTCCCAACAATGCAAATTCTTGTTATTTTAGAGTCCATGGACTGAAAGAAAGATGTCCAAGGTTTGTCAAAGTCATTTCCACGTGTGATGTGGCAAGACATGGGCTCCACAAAATAACACCTGGAACTGTGGAATGACTAGGGCAACTTAAATAGAATGTCATTTACCTTTTATAAGATAACTTACCCTAACACAGGTTGCATTTCACAAATCCAAATGCACCTGTTGAATTGAATTTTGATATCAAAATCTAGAATTGTCATTATTAAAATGAGAGTGATGTATTAATAGATGATTAACTTGTGATTATGTGTATATCAGATTCATTTTTGTTTTTTAACACCTCCAGAGGGTCCAGGGTGTTCCAAAAGTAACAGGACTGGTGCTGGTATTTGTTAAATATACACCAATTGTCTTCAAAATTTTACATAATGTACCTTCATGTTTTGTAACTAATTACATAATTTTTGTCGAAACTGATTTAGAAATCGGCCGATGACTACTCATCGGCCAGCGCCCGGTGCATATGTGGCCTAGGCATTAGAGAGAGACCGAGGTGGGAGATATCCCCCTCCCCTCTACACCAAACTTGTTCTCACTACGCTTTCGAAAATTGCCTGAAAGGCCTCCTCTCCTCACACATTATTAAGGAAAACATATCTCCACATTTTGCGCATTTAACCATTTGATAACATATTGTGGATCTTATCTTAATTTGTTAATGTGAATTCGCACCTTCATTTGCATGGAAGACTTTGATAAAATCCTTTTTTGATGATCTTTGTTAGAATGCTGATGTTTGGCTCCAAATTGAACAGTCTACTAAGGATACCATGTTGTAAATATTGTTTTCTTTATAATATACTGAGCTAGGACTGCTCAAACAAATTCGCTTTTTGTAGCTACAAGTATTTAATTTCAATAGATGATAAACTTCTCAATATAAGAAATTACCCTCATAAGACATTGTTACAAGGTGTGTTGCAATGAATGTGGCATCCCGCATTCCCAGGCCCACATTATGTATTCTCGAAGAAAGCAATCATGATAAACCATGACATCTCATTTCTTTTAAGCCCTGTGTTTCAGGTGAAACAGAAAGATGCTATGAGTATCAGAATGGATGAAAGCATATTTTTGCATTGATGGTGTATAGATAGTTATTTTATATAGTGTTTTTAGTTGTACGTGGAAACCTATTCTAACCAGGAAGGATATTGCAACTTTTTTCAAGATCCTAAAGTTGCAATTTTCGTTATTATGTTTCATTGTAAGGACACACCTGTGAAAGTGTGTCGCTGGTATAAAGGCATAGTTCTAAATAAATTTAAGTTACACGTTTTTAAACTTGTACGTGAACGTATAATGGGCCTGATGGATTTTTTCTCCCTTTTGTACTGCTAATACTTGGCCGGTTGAGTATACATGTCCCAGCTTTTGGTAAGTGGGGGGTCAAACCTCCCCCCATCCACACATACACTTTTTATCATGCTAAGTAACTTCGCATTGTAATTACAAGGGTGTTATAAATGAGACACCAGGATGATAAGGTAGGGGTACAATATAGGGCCCAAATCTTGAGAGAGTCGAAGGCATGCAAGGCAAATCCTGGAAACTCGGGTTCGGGAAAGCAGGGTTCACTGTTTGGTTCCGTTGACACCTGTGTGAAACTACTATCTTGCACAGGTACTCATATAAGAACCTCTATATCTTTTTAACACCAATATAAAGATTGAAAAATGGACACACTATGTTAAAAATGTTATATCTAATGTGCCAATTTAATGATTTAGCATATCGAAAATATTTTCAACTTAAGTGACCACATCGTGACATCACTTAGGTGGCAACATTTTTCAATGTCAATCTTTTCTAAATATGCTAAACTTAAAAAAGAAACCAATTTTGACTGTCTAACCAGGTTAAAAGGATGAATATATTGTGTTTTTAATATTATTTTACCATTGGTTTCTATGAGAATTAAAACTTTGAAATGCATCTTTCCCTGAGCCACTTTCTTGCATGGATGAGTTCATTGCTCGCTCATCTATCAACCAATTTTCTTGATTTTGTCAGCAAAAAAACAAGTGAGGATGATTGCTATGCATTGGTGTGAATTATCGCTTTAAAGGATAAGTGTGACCTCTTAAAGTTAGTTTTTAATAAATTCACAATATTTTGAACAAAAAGTCCTTCATTTTTGAAATTAATAAAAAGTTTCACATTTCACACTTTGATAACATTGGATAAGACAACAATATAAGCCAAAGTGGTTTAAACTTTATATGGGGCCTTTAACTGATTAACACAACTTTACACCCATTGGAAAGACTGTACTGTGACTGGTTGGACAGAGTTGTATCAATCATACATGTAACTGCATGTCCAGTGGAAAATAACCAACTCTGATTATACCAAAGGTTGGAATTTGAATTATCATGCACATGATAGTGGTCAGATAGTGATCTAAAATGCATAGCCCAAACGGGTAAAAAATTGGACAGTGTTTACTACTATAATGAGATCAAGTGATCTTTACGATTATAGTAAGTTCCAGTGCAGTTCGAAACTGAGGTACAAATCATAGACAAGGAACTTTCCACAAAGTCACCTCATGAATATTATAATGAGCTGCTTAAAAATCTGTGACGTCAATGAGAGAAACTTTTTCCCGTGAAAAACAAATGCAATTGAGTTTACATGTAAATCCTCGGTTGATTGCTGTAAGTTTTACCTCTTCAAATGTGCAAGTTATCAGTAAAATATTGACGGATTTTTATTGAACATCAAACTGACATTTATTTACGCCTTCTAAGCGATTTAAATATTAAATTTCTGTTCATAATGAGTAAATAATTTGAAGAGAATTACTCCCAGTCAGTTTTCAATCATGATCATTAGTTCACCAACATTATAACATGTCTCCCATGCATAAAAATATAGATAGACAATCTATTTTAAGTTAATCTTCATCTTAATCTACGCTTAATAGAAAACAAACATGGATATGGGTGTCCTGATTTCGCTTGTGAAACCTCACTTGTCATTGGACAAATTAGTTATGTGATGATCGGTTTTGAATAATGATCACTGGGAAGATTTCAGTGAAAGAGCGTATATCATATAATGTTTATTGGTGATATGTTGACATTGCTGATCATTAATTGACATCGCTGACGGCGAAAAAATACCAAAAGGTAACGCTCTGCGCGAATGTCACTCATGGTGAATTTCTGATGGAACTTCTCACTACGACACAATAACCATTTAACATGATAGTGTATGACCACTATCAGATAATTTAACCGAGTTGTTTGTAGCTTCACAATTTACATTTTTGTTTACAATCACACTAGACATGTGAGCCCGGTGTAAAAGGGTAGGTGGTCCTATCAAATTTTGGTCCTACTCTCTATTGATTTATATGGTGACCTAATTACAATTATTTTCCTTATTATTTATACACAGTCAGGGCCAGTGAGGGCCGTAAGGAAATGGGACCATAATCCCCAGGGGACCAGAATTTCTTTTACACCGGGTATGTGAGGCTGATCTGAGAAGTCTTAATAAACAATAGTTCTGTCAAAAAATGATTAAATTAAATTGCATAAGATTCGGAATGAAAGTGCCCCGTCCATATTTCATATTTGCTTAAAAATAATTAGTACGTTAGGCAAATAGAATCCTTTTTATAGCAGTTAATTCAAAATATTCCTATGCTGGCTGTACTAATTCTTCAAAACTTTCCATCATTGACGTCATTGATTTGACTCATTTGCATACAATCAATCAGCACGCTGGAAATTATCGATTTTCTTTACTTTGTGGAAAGGTGAATAGAAGACTTTTAATTTTCCCTCAAAACTTAGACAATACTTGACTTTTAACAGATGGCGGATTATCGAAAAACAAACGACGATTTTGGACACTCGGCATTTACATGCAGAATGTGACCAACTGCCATTTGTTACAGACACCAACCACAGAGTGGTCACCACTTGTGGTGGTGACATAAAAACTAGCATCACAAAATATACTCTGATTTTCAAAAGGTTTAAAATTACAGAAATATGACTAACATTAGTTAACTGAATGTTGGCTATTTGTATGTCTAGTTTAAAAAACTCTAGTTTAAAAAACTATTAAAGACTTAATGAAGTATATACCACATCTTTGTCACCATGGGCCAATCCAGATGGTGCAAGTCCCCAAAATGGCTGAACTGGATTCTGCCTTACAGGAATGGAACTTAGGGTGTAGTACATACTGGCATATATAGTCTGGGCAAGAGGTACGTTTCCCTCAACATCTATTCTACCTCTACTCCAAAGCTTAGCCCATGTATTGATGTGGTCAACATAAAGCTTGTCTGCGTCTTGTAACATGGACCTTCCTGAAATACAATGGATGCTATTAATTGACCGTTTGCGATCAGAATTCAAGTATTTTGTTGATGGATACTATTGTCATGTATTTCGTCTTATTGGTATGACGTAACATAAAAATAGTATTAGCTATGACAGGAGACAAAATGGTGGACATGTGGCAGTTTTGAGTTGTAATGTTTAACGTTTCTTTTATGCAAACTCATATAGATCATACTTTTTTTATATCGATTCGAGTATCCTTATGTGTGTGAAGTTTTGACAAAATTCATACTAAACATCGATGGCTACAAGTACCCTCCCATTTTTTTCAAAATTGGTGGGTGCTTAACCGCTATCTAAATCATGTCAGTAAGATCTTAGACTTGGCATTGCTTAGAATAAATGTTGTTCCTCAATGGTCACAGGTCAATTACACAATTATACCATACCTTCTCATATTTCACATATCATTACAGCCCATCCACATCTGTTAAATATTATTATAATCCCTTCTAATATGTTATCACCATAACCCCTCCCAATAAGTGATTGAACATTCAAATATCATTATAATCCCTTCTAATATGTGATCACTGTAACCCCTCCCAATAAGTGATTGAACATTCACTATAGTCCCTCACCATGGCCACATATACCTTTATAGCCTTTCCCATGGGTCCACTTTACCATCAGGATAGCAAGGATTTGCCAAGGGGGTTCACATTTTAAACAATTCCAGGGGTTTCACTTTTGACAACTTTGGCTCGAATATGGCCAAAATCACTTGTAAAGTGCTCAGAATTGTGAAAAACTGCATGATTTTGAAAGAATTTTTGGCCAAGCTCAAACCCCTCAAACCCCCATGGCTATGAACTTGACCATTATACCATATCTCCTCATACTTCACATACCTAGCTGGTATCCTTCCATAGCATCTAACTTGGTCACGCTAGAAGACATCAAATAAACATACTTCACATAGTTCAAAGCTTTCGGAACATTCAGTACTCTAGGTATCGCATCAAAGTACACATGCACTTGAGTTCGCTTTGAATCGACTGTCTCCGGAGTATAAATCTCACCATGACGATATCTGAAATAATATTTATTTGTATTACATGAAGTGTGTTTAAAAAGTTCTAGAATCTGTTCTACATGTTATAAATCAGAATATAATTAAGTAAAACATTTAAAAATCTTGAATACTAAAAATCATTTTCAAATATTAAGAACCGTGTCAATGTTTTACCTGACACCCTTTATTTTGGCTGGTGATTCTCCAAAGTTAATATCTTGACTGTGACCTTGACCTCTTGTCAATTCAATATTGACCTTGACCTCGATGTCAGGGTCAAATTTTTCTACTTCAATTTCCACAACCATGAGCTGCGAAATGTTTCGATGAGCATAGATACGATGCGTCACTTTGTACAAATTGTTGCTCATTTCTTGCAAGAAAATACCTAAAATAACAAAGTTAACCTTCATAAAATAAATTTAATATGATTATTTGAGCGACATTCAGTATCTTTTGGCATATGCACGCTGCACGGTGTGTAAATTAAGTTGATTTTTATGAAAATGAATTTGGGGAAGACAATTCATGAAAATTATTCCTGTAGGAGGTTATCTGGAAGTAAGTCCAATACCTTGTAGGACATTCAGAGTATATGTCCTAGTCAAGCCAGGTGCTATAGGCTCTATAGAGGTGACATTACAGGCGCAATATGCTGGTATTTGCGCACGATGGCTCCTCGACCCCGCTCCATTGTACACTCCATTCATGAACATATACTTTCCATTCACCACAGCGGCTACATGTCCGTTACCAACACTGGGCATGTAGTTCTGGATAGGGAGCCTGGATATAAAAAATTTGAAAATTAATTATTCTACAAGCATAACATTTAGCAATATAGATCTTAGGGCACAAAAGCTTTCGTAAGCCCTGCGGTATTTATTCATTGATATTTATAATATAATTCTTAAATATATATCAATCCCTGTCAGAAGGTTGAATCAGGGAGATAAATAAGGGTTATGTACTGGGAGGTTTTGGATATGGGGTTTATCCAGAGGGAGATATGCATATCTACCTGGGGGACCGTAGGGACCGAAGGTAGATGTGCATATCTCACGAGGGATGAACCCCATATCCAAACCGACCGTACATAACTGCATTATCCTATACCAAGTAGAGTTTTCAGGGGCATATGGCCATTTCAATAGTACAAGGTGTAAAAATAAAAAATCGAGTCATTTTATTGCATTACGGGAAGCGGGAAGATATGCACCGGAAGCAGGAAGATATGCACCGAAGAGGGAGATATGGCGGGAGATATGGAGGTTCTGGATATGGAAACCTCAAAATCAGGATACGGGATCTTACCAACTTATCTCGCTAAAACTCTACTTGGCATAGGATAATTATGTTTATAGTTTGATTGAATAATGAAAATTGTTTAAAAATGAAAAGTACTTTGCTAAACCAGGTGTTTCATTATAATTCATGACAAGTATAAAGCAATGAAAAAACAGGCAAACTTATTGAAACTTCAAAAACCTGAAACAATACACAAAATTGCTTATTACAGCAGGCGATTTTGGTAAAAACAAAATTTGCCTGTTTCTAAGAAATCAAAATGATAATCAATAAGAAATAATGTGGAATATTATTAAGAACATGGGTGATCTTAATCAAAGGTGATATTGAGAAATAATGTGGGTGATATTAAGATATAATATGGGTGATATTATATCTACTATTAAGGAATAACATGGGTTGAAAAAACACTTACTGTTTTGTACTAAATATATAGGTATCCTTATCCATCCAATGTTCTGTGATATCATGAATGTTTTGAGCATAATAGTTATCAGGGAATGTAACTGGCGATCCATTATGCATCAATACTAAAGTGTTTCGTTTTTGAACACCGATTTCTTCATGCTCCTCTTTAAATTGTGTTTTGATTTGTCCATCTTTGGGTTCATTTATAATAGGTTTCTTTCCAGAACTTTCAAGTTTAACATGTTTATCAGTGTTGTCGGGTAGATGCTGATTTAGGTGTGAATTGAGGGTTTGAACTGGTTTGTTTACATTGTTAGGTTGCTTTACAACACCACCAGGTTGATTGACCACACCAGCAGATTGTTTGACCTTACTTCCAGGTTGTTTGACCACATTAGCAGATTGTTTGATCACACTTCCAGGTTGTTTGACCACATTCCCAGGTTGTTTGACCACACTTCCATTTGGATCTTGTTCTTTATGCATATCATTGTTTTCAAATTTCACATTATTCTGAACTTTTCCATCAACAGTGTTCAAATTATTATCCACAGATATTTTTTCTTTCTGTATGTTGACTTGGTCTTTAGGAAAAGGTCTGCTTTTGGATTTTTGTAATTGTCTAACTTGTTCCTGATGGATTTCGGAATTGATAGTCTTTCCAGTGTTTCCTACTGGTTGCACTTTATTCTTAATCAAATCAACATTTTGTTGCAATTGTTTTTCATGTTGAACTGAATCCTTCTGAGCTTTGTGTGAAATCAATGTTTCTTTTTTCACTTTTTGTGGAGAACTTGGATTCTGGTCACGAATAATTCCATCTTTAACTTTTGATGCTACTTGTCTGTTGCCAGACGTTTGTTTCTGATGCTCCTCCCACTTTTGTTGAAGATTATCAACGATTGGATGTGGATTTTTTACAGTCCATTCACTAACTTTAGAAATTTTAGCTACAAGTTTAGAATGATTTGGATCGTGGGGTTTTCCCCCTCTATTTGAAATTTGTTCACCATTGTTAGAACGTTTTTGTTCAACATTCTGAATTTTTTTCCCAACACTCTGAGTTTTTGTTCCAACATTGGGAGCATTTTCCCTTTTGTTGGAATCAATGCCTCCATCATTTGCTGGACTTTCCTCATCATTGGAATCATTGTTCCTATTATCAAGAGGAGTTTCCTCATCATTGGAACCATTATTCTTATCATTATGAGGACTTTCCTCATCATTGGAATTATTGTCATCATTTATGGGAGGATTTTCCTCATCATCTTCATTAATTGTATTTGATTCATGTTTCTCCTTCTTTTGACCTTCATATACATGATGTATATTGTGATCTCCTGTGTTATCAATGAGATGTTTCTCTACACCAATTTTCCCACTAAGGGCATCATCTTTCTCTTTGTTAATATCGTCAACTATCTTGTCGTGTTTTGCTTCTGGTGATAAAGTAGTCCTGGGTGCCTTACGTCTTTCTATTTCTCTCAGCTGGAAAGGAGAAGAAATAGATAGGAAACAGGCATGTAGTCTTAGTTGTATGGAATTGCAAGTCAGTTCATTCATTATATAAATACAAGGCATGAACATAAAAAATGTCACTACCTGCCATTTGTTCGAAATGGCGAATGCTGAACACAAACCACAGACCACCGAACACCAAACAATAACTGCCAAACAGCATCCACAAATTGGTAACTATAACAACAATATGCCACCACTTCAAACAGGTGAAATAGGCATAGATGAATGAAGAAAAATTCGGGCTTAAGTGTAATGGAGATGATGAGAGCAAAAATCCCCAAAATACATACCAAAAAATATACCAAAAATGTCTAATGCCCCTTACTCCACCACCAATGAGAAACACGATATCACAAAACTCAAGACAATGGACATTGTACATTATACTATAGAAGTGGCCATACCTTATGCTGTCTCAGCTTCTCTGCAGCAAGGTGCTGTTTTTGTTGAATCTCTGCTCTTTCCTTCATCAGCTGTCTCTCCTTCTGACGGTCTAGTGATGAATATAAAAGATAAATGTAAAAGTTAAAGTGCTATAGCTGTAATTCTTATCCTAAATATTTCCCTCATCAGCTGTCTCTCCTTCTGATGGTCTAGTGATAAATAAAAAAGACAAATGTAAAAGTTAAAGCGCTAATTAGCTGAAACCTTTTATTCTAAATATTCAAATAGCTGCCTCTCCTTCCGATGGCCTAGTGCTAAAAGATAAATGTAATTTAAGCTAATAGCTGTAATTCATAACCAAAGAATCTCTCCTCTTTAATTCATTAGCTGCCTCTCCTAAAGGTCTTATACTACATTTATAAGTGAAGTTTCCCTTAGAATATTAACACTGGTAGATTTAAGTTATATTGATTTGATTCAGTAAATTGGTTTGTTTCATCAAGACTCACCTTTTGCAGTTTGCTTTGGTTGTGAAGGGTTGTTTTTCCCAGCATTCTCCTAAAATGTAAAATATAACATAGTTAAAAAACATGTCATAGGGAACATGCTTGTTAAAAAACATGTCATAAGGGACATGCTTGTTGAGAAACAAGTCATGAGGAACATGTGTTTAAAATTGAAATAATATCTACACACACTGGTACAAATGGGGACCTAGGGATCCTTAAAAGTAAAGTGGGCCTAAGAAGTACCTTTAAAACATTAAGTTATAAACTGGGAGTGATAGTGTAATAGGTTACCACTCTTATTAAAAGCTTCCACAAGTCATTTAACTGTTTTTGGTGATAGCTTCTAAAGTAGGCTTTATAGTTTATAGCCTATGCTACAGTTCCTTATTGTTTCTTACTCAAAAAGCATCGAATTACGAAACCTTCATTTCGAGGAAAATGAGAGATTTAAGCCTTCATTGAATGCTCCAAACAGCTATATCTTTCCCCTTTTGTAATTCAAACAAGGCATTAACATGCAAAATGTCACCACCTGCCATTTGTGATAGATGCCGACTGCTGAACAGCAATCGCCAAACACCAACTTATGAACACGGTGCACAAAAAAAGTTGGAGACTATAACAATATGTCACTTCTTTTAGTTGAGGTGAAAAAATAATCAGAGAATGACAATCTTTTTAGTCAATGGTCATCCCCCTATGAGATTTTTGCCTGATTACAATTTTACTCTACACTTACTTGAATTTGCTGTCTATGGCCAAAGTCATCCATAGACTCCCTATCATCGTGAGTCCCATATCCCTCTTTTCTGCTCCCTTTCCCATCACCCATAAACAGTGCAAAATCGCCTGTATGATTTCGACGGTTTGGAGTTATCCAGTAGCCAATGATGATCAGAAGAATCAGGAACAAGACAATGTAGATGACACGCAATGGTCGTAGCCGCAGTTTGAGAAGTTTCATGATCCAACATGCAGTTTGACTCTTAATCAAGTAACCTGTAAAAAATGATAAAAATGCTTAGTATTCAACCCTAAATCAAATGTTCTTCAACTGTCAAAGCTGTTGATGCTATACGAGGGTTGTCCCAGAAGTAATGCACTATATGCTCTAACTTTATCAATAATTGATATTTTTCCATGAAATTTTCAGTGAATGTTCCTTGGACACATTTTGATTTTTCTACAAATTTTCATTTTGACTGATAATACTATGTTGGTGTTATAATGAAATCAAGTTGGTGAGTTTGGGTAGGGTGGGGCAGGTTATTGTCACGTCAAAATGAATGAAAAATTGAAAATATGAACTAATTAATCAACAAACACCATTTTGTGTAGCTATAAGAAGTATGCTCAAAATTACATTTCAAGATACTAAATTACTAGGAGCACATCCTAGATTTAATGTAAGTATATTGCACAGTGTCCCATTTCCACAGTTGCCAACTCCCGATTTAAATCGGGAGATTCCTGTTTTTTAACCCATCTCCTGCGCAATTTTGCCATCTCCCAATTTTCTAATTTTGTAATTTTTCATCATCTCCCGATTTTTTCTCCCGATTTCCCCGATTTCTACAAAAAACTTCGCATGTTTTAGGTAAAAATCCGCATGCGTATTACGTAGATAATCTCCTGAGTGGAGGCGATAAGAATCTGCGCAAGTATGTCCGTGAAACGGGGTAAGAATAATTTTGTCTATTTATGCACGATTGCGTAAGCCTACCAAGATTAAGCATGTATATACATTAAGAGAAATCATGTTAAATAAGTTTGAATGATTTTACCATTGAAGTTTGTCAAAGATTGAGATTTATCAGTCACATTTAGGCCTACGGTAAGCTTTTTGGTTTTTCCATCCTGGACCAAGGAGGATTGGCTCCCAGGATGCAACATCGATACCGATACTTCCTATGTTTTAAACTGTTTTATAAAGAAGTCTCCTGTTTTCTCCTGTTTTTAAAGAAAATATCCTGTTTTCTCTTGTTTTTAAGGAAAATATCCTGTTTTCTCCTGTTTTAAAAGAAAATACCCTGTTTTCTCCTGTTTTTAAAGATAATCTGTTTTCTCATGCTTTTAAAATAAATTGTTTTCTCCTGTTTTTAAAGAAAATCTCCTGTTTAGACTGAAAATCTCCTGTTTCTCCTGTTTTTTAGATGGTAACTTGTTTTCTCCTGTTTTTTAAAAGAAGTCTCCTGTTTTCTCCTGTTTTTTAAAGAAAATCTGCTGTTTAGACTGAAAGTCTCTTGTTTTCTCCTGTTTTTTAGATGGTAACTTGTTTTCTAAAAGAAACCTCCTGTTTTCTCCTGTTTTTTAAAAGAAGTCTCCTGCTTTCTCCTGTTTTTTTCAGTAAAAGTCTCCTGTTTTTCTCCTGTTTTTTGCAAAATATCTCCTGGATTCTCCTGTTTTAAAAAAAAAAACTTCTGTTTTTTATCTCTGAGAGGTTGGCAGGTATGCATTTCACATTTTCTCAAAATATTGGCCTTTGCATGTTATGTACTTTTTATGCCTGATGGTCGAACACTCTTAGCAATTTCTTCAACTGTGAATTGTGAAGTTTTTGTCTCCCATGTTTGGAGTTGTCATCCAGGGTCCAGTCATCACTTTTGAATATCTTCTGCAACCTCATAATTGTAGTTCTATCTGGTGTATACTCCTTCTATACTTTCTTCATGGTAGCATAAGGTTGTGTGGCTGTGAGTCCAAGTGAAGTATGAAATTGGGCAACCATGTGCAAGGCCTTCTGTTATCAGTTGAGAATTGCAGCCATTTTTGCAATTTCTTGGCTGTAACTGAATTTGAATTTGTGACTTTTGAACTGTGGTAATTATGACATAACAGTGCTTAATGTCATTATTTGTACTTGATGAACATCTTGCTCAATAAAGGAGCACGTAGGTTATCGCAAACAATTTCAAACAATTCTAACTTGAATTATTGATGTTTTCTGATCATGAACATTAGTGTATCTTTTTGATCCATTCATTATCTTCAAAAAAGTATATATAATGATAATTTAGTTAATCAGACCTCAGTTATATTGGAGGTGCAATGGACCAATTTTAGTTTTTATGGTTTCTTTATTTTACTTTACAAAATTATCTACAAATGACAGGGCCGAGGCTGAAATCAGCATTATTGGCCCTGTTAATACAAAGTTTATTCAAATTTACATAATAGCAACAAAATGACTACCAACATATATGTATGCATGGCAGGAATGTGTTAAAACTATATAATTATATCAATGCATTCACACAAAAAGGATGTAAAATGCTTCAATATTGAAGAATTGCATGTTATGCTAACTCCATCTCTGCCATACATTAAGATATTCAGCTTTTGCTCTACAGAGCATCCTGTAAAGAAAATGTTCATTTCTGGCATGTTCCTGAGTTCCCCCCAAAGTTTCTCTCTTATAACATTCAACAGAGGGCATTTGAAGATTAGATGCTTTGTAGTTTGTTGTTTAAAACCACAGATGCATTTGGGACTGTCAATACCTTGAAAATTATGTTGAAAAAGATGACCAGTAAAAATGAAATCACATCTTGTTCTATTCAGTAAAATTTCTTCTTTTCTTGTAAGATCCAGGTTTGTGGTTGTTAAATGCTTCATTGTTCCTGAATATTTACGTAAATTGGTTTTGAAAGTGACTCTTGATGGTGCACTTTTTAGATAATTTGGAATGGCTTCCCATTCTCTTATGGCATTTATTATTGGTGACTTTTGTGAACGTGCAGTTAACTTTGGAATAGTGTATTCTCTTGATTTTCTCAAGTTAATATTATGTTGCTTATTTTGATAACTATCAAAAATTTTTTGAACATAAGTTGGGACCAATTTCTGTCTAACATCATACATTAAACGTAAACGTTTCTCCTTTCTCCGCTCAGACAGGGTATTCCAATTTAGACATTTCAAAACCTTTACAGTAGATGTTCCATGAATGCAGCCACTTACTAATAATGCTGCCCTATAATGAACTTGGTCTAGTTTCATAATATTATACTTGGTAGATTTTTCAAATAATATACTTCCATACTCTAAGTTTGGGAGAATAAATGATAGATACATCTTCTCTAGGTGTTTTAAAGAACTTTCAATGGATTTAACATTATATTACATGCTTTTATGATATCCTGTAAATGGGCTTCAAAATTCAAATGCTCATCTAGAATGACTCCTAAGTGTTTATGAGTTCTGGTTCTATTAATGACCTCATTTCCTAGGTAGAGGGGAGGGTATAAGAGATTGCACCTCCTTGAGCCTTTAAAAATCATATCTTGACTTTTAGAAGGTTTAAATTTAAGCTTCCATTTCTGTGACCATTCCCGTAAATTATTTAAGTCAGCTTGTAAATGCTGGTTCTGTTCAATGATATTAGCTTTCCTATTAAATGGCATAAAGATTGAACTATCATCTGCATAAAGGTAAAGTTGACTATGATTTATGACTTCATGAAGGTCATTTATATATAACAGGAAGCAAAACGGCCCAATTATGGATCCCTGCGGCACGGAACTATTTATGAAGTATTCATTTGAGATTGCTGATAATTCTCCATTAGCTTTAACTTGAAGTCTACAATTGAAAAGATACGACTGCAAAAGTTGAATGGACCAATCAACATACTTTTTCAAAAATGTTGACCTATTTTCCACCAAAAATGCAACCTTTTATTATATTGTTGAATGCATAATTAGAATGTGCTTTGAGACATGTTCGATTTCCTAAAAGGAAAAGTTGATTGCTCCAGGGACTTTAAAGAGACTGAATTTGGATGACCAAAATGAACTGAAACCAATGGATAGCATGAGATTTTTCAATGGAGAAATAACATGGGGAACACTTATCTTAAAGCAATTAAGTTTTTCTTTCAAGAACTATTTCACGGGGTACCATCGAATAATTTTGGCAACGTACCGGAGAACGACATTTTACTAAGAAATGGCAATAATTTAGCACAATATATTTTTTAACTAGAGTTCCACTTTGATTTTGACAAAAGTAAGTATTCCATGCAATAACTATTTCATTCATGAGTTTGTAGGAATTCTGTTAATGTTGGAACCCAGTTCTGATCAAGTACGAAGTTATTGAAATCGGCGCAGTCGGACTTTACTCCGAAAGATGGTTTTTCGATTATAACTTTTTACAACATTTAAGTATAGACTTTTGAAAAAAGTGCAGAATAGTCCTTGTACTATTGAATAATTCTGTTATTTCTGATTCACACGACTCTGATTTGTTTAATTAAAAAAAAAGTTTTAAAAATATTACTTAGGAACGTAACCGGAGCTGGGAACGTAACCGGAGCAGATCAGTTGAATTATATAATTAAAAAAAATAAAATATATGATTTAAAGCATACAGGGCTCTCGCCAGGCTTTTAGACTGTGGCGCAGCACCACACTCTATTTACCTCCCTCCACACCCTATTGTCAAATCATGACTGTTTCCACAGTCTAAACTTGACTGAATATACAATAATAGCATGTAAAAAGGATAAAACATAACATAAATATGATTTATCACGATTGAACGGTTATTCTGAAGATGTTAGCACCACACCCTAAATATTTCCTGGTGAGAGCCCTGGCATATATATTAATAAATACGCATTCGAACAATCCCGTATGTTTTTAAATTAGTATATGTGCTTTAAATCATATATTTTAATTTTTTTGATTAAATAATTCAACTGATCTGCTCCGGTTACGTTCCCAGCTCCGGTTACGTTCCTAAGTAATATTTTTAAAACTTTTTTTTAAATTAAACAAATCAGAGTCGTGTGAATCAGAAATAACAGAATTATTCAAAAGTATAAGGACTATTCTGTACTTTTTTCAAAAATCAGAGTTGTGTGAATCAGAAATAACAGAATTATTCAAAAGTATAAGGACTATTCATGTACTTTTTTCAAAAGTCTATACTTAAATGTTGTGAAAAGTTATAATTGAAAAACCATCTTTCGGAGTAAAGTCCGTCTGCGCCGATTTCAATAACTTCGTACTTGATCAGAACTGGGTTCCAACAGAATTCCTACAAACTCATGAACAGTACTGTCAACCCCTAAAGATTTTCTCGCGGGACAGATTTTTTAGACCCAGTGCCCAAAATTCGCGGGATTTTGCGGGACATCTACTAAATTCGCGGGATTTCGCGGGACATTTAAGGGATTTGCGTGATTGCGCTAATAGGCCAACTTTTTTTCTCAAATTCGCGGGATTTCGCGGGACCATTCGAGGGACAAACACCCTAATTGCGGGATAGTTAACAGGTTTAACGCCAAAAACTTGATAGAGGGACAGATTTTTTAAACAAAGTGCCCTAAATTTGCGGGATTTCGCGGGACATTCACCTAAATTTGCAGGATGTCCCGGGACATTCAAGGATTTGCGTGATTGGGACTAATGTAGAAGCGTGTAAAAGTACTTAAATCAAACTTCCAAATACTGATTAATCAAATACAATGCACCGTTGTATTGTAACTTAAATAAACGTCAACACAATTTCACAAAATACGTATAGGAATATTATTAAACTTTATGCTTCATGCTTCAGGTGTGAGTATTGTAATCTAACACGAAATTCAAAAATTCGGAACAATACTTTGCATTTCTGGCGTCGTGAACAACTATGAAACGCTTACCCCCATAATGTTATATATTAAAATGTACCTATTCATATACTGTAGGCATTTTCTTTCAATTGATCATGAAAGCCCATGATATAGGGGTTCGATTAATCTACATCAAATTATAGGGAATGGGGTTACTTTTCTAGATAGGGTTTGTAGAAAAAAACGGGTAGCGGGTAGTAAATCCTCCATGCTGGGTTCAAACTTGGTACCCGGTCGAAAAAAACGGGTACCCAAAAAACGAAATATACGAATATACAACATAATTAGATCATTAGAAAACGTGTAAGATTTGTTTTGAATTTACAAAAATGTATGTAACTTCCTTCAAAATTGAGCTAGAAGCTTCAAAAAAAGCATTTTAAGGCTCTTTTCGTCCGCTATCATCATGGTCATATTTCCATTGGTAATGAAGGGGGGGGGGTGCGATCGCACCCCCTCCTGGCTACGCCAATGACATTGTAAGACGAACAAAAACAAGACAAATCAATCTTACTCTATTTTCAATAGTTCGTTTGTTGGTACGTGAATTGTTTTGATTATGATTTAAATCTGTAAATAGCTACAGATGTATCGTTGCTTTAGCAGGGAGGTGATGTGTGTTAATTTACATGATTTTGATTATTAATCATAATTTAAGTTATCCCAATTTTCGACAAAATGTCCACTGAATTGTAAATTGTTATGTCTTACAATGTCATAGGTGTAGCCAGGAGATGGTGCGATGGTGCGATCGCACCCCCCCCCATAACCAATGAAAATATGGCCATGACGATAGAGGAAGAAAAGAGCCTTAAATATGCTTTTTATTTGAAGCTTCTAGCTCAATTTTGAAGGATAATACATTTTTGTGAATTCAAAACAAATCTTACACGTTTTCTCATAATCTAATTACATGTATGTTATATATTCGTATTTTTCGTTTTTTGGGTACCCGTTTTTTGACCGGATACCGGAAACCAAGTTTGAACCCAGCATGGAGGATTTACTACCCGGTACCCGGTTTTTCTACAAACCCTTTCTAGATATCAGCGTCCATTTATTGTAACTCGCGTTTGCTAACATTTGCTCAGTTCTGAGATGAAGGCCACACGGATAGTAAAAAGGCCAACGTTAGAACTATTTTTGACCTACATCCCTATTTTCGTAATTAAAATGAAAGTTGAACCCTTCCTCTTTATTTTGATACCAAACAACAGCATGCTAGGTACTTAAAATTAGGTAAACTTTACTCCTCAAAAGTGCAAAAACTTGGCTTCTTATATAAGATAAGATAATCACAATATAGGGGATTGCAACAATTTCGGAAATTCGCGGAGGTCAAAACCACATTTGCGGGACTTTGTGGGACATTGCGGGACACGCGAATTAGCCTAATTTTGATCAAATTCGCGGGATAATCCCGCCATTCGCGGGACACTTGACAGCTCTGCATGAATGAAATAGTTATTGCATGGAATACTTACTTTTGTCAAAATCAAAATAGAACTGTAGTTAAAAAATATATTGTGCTAAATTATTGCCATTTCTTAGTAAAATGTCGTTCTCCGGTACGTTGCCAAAATTATTCGATGGTACCCCGTGTATTTGATACATCAAAATAAAGAATGGTAATGCATTAAACATTGTAAAAAATGATTGCATTTTTGGTGAAAATGGGGTCAACATCTTTGAAAAAGTGTGTTGATGGGTTGATTGCTAGTTAATTATCTCCGAATTTGTTTGACTTTATTATTACTGCATATAATTTTCTTTGAGATAATAAATTGATCTAAAAGATAAACTTGTCTTCATTGTCAGAAAATAGTCATAATCCAAGATATAACCTTCTGAAATTGTTTGCGATAACCTACGTGCTCCTTTAACAATTTCGCAAACATTTTGATCATTTAGAAGAGAGAAATATTAATAAAATAACACTTTGGAGCTTTTCATGATTATAAAAATTGGTGCCTGCCCTGCCCACCCCTACCCTCGTTTGTTTTTCGCTAAAGCGAGATAAAGATCAACCTCAACAGATGTTTTTATAAATGGCAGACCAAATAATTTCAAGTTTAGACGAAAGCATGCAATATCTCACAAAGGACAGTGTCCGTTTGAATTCTAATTGATGAAATATACTCATTACGTTTTTTAGAATAACATCTAAAACTTTTTTTACTCCAGAATAAACGTTTTCACTAGTGCTAGTGGTCCACATGCCATGTCTTCTAGCCAAGTAATTTGGCTAGAGACTTGAGTAAATCGAGACCGCCCTACATTGATTGTAGAGCCTGTTTCGCTGCTTCAAAGGCAAGCCGTTGAACCTGAAAAATAAGAAATCTAAAGACTATTGTGCAATAATGTAAAGAAAAATATATTCACATTGCACACAAAGACATTTGTATATCTTGGATTGCTTGTAAATTGGCTTATAAAGTCCGCAACCTCTTATATTTTGATGCTTCTCTCCAGGCCTGTCAACTGTCCCGCAATTTGCGTATTTGTCACGCATTTGCTGAAGAATTTGAAGTCACGCCAGTTATTTTTGCGTGACAGAAAATGTCACGCAAATACGCATTTTACCAAGCAAAATTATTTCTGTAGAAAAATTTCTAAAAAAGATCGTCTACACAGCAAAAATACGAACGTCGGAAAAAAATGTACGCATTTCGTTCGGACTTTTCACGCGAATTACGTATATGTCACGCATTCTGTTCGGAATTTTTCGAACTTCCCACCCCCCCTCCCCCGTTGACGGATGTTTGAAACGCGAGCGTAGCGAGCGCGAAAAATTTGAGGTGTAATAAAATTTAAACCAAGGTGTTCAAAATTTGGATCAAGGTGTCCAGATTTGGACCAAGGTGTCCACATTTTGAGGGGAGGTGTTCAACATTTCCAAGTCACTCATGTTAGGTGTTCCCAAGTTGACAGGCCTGTTCTCTCCCAGGTAAATTCTGAAAAAATAACATGGCGGATAGACCTCAAATTACAAGAGGGCACAGGCTTATTGCTTAAACACTAAATAATCTGAAATATACAAATGTCATTCGTGTGCAATATGAATTAATTTTTTATATATTATGGTCTTTAGATTTCTTATTTTTCAGCTTCAACTGCTTGCCTTTCAAGTAGTGTAACAGACTCAGAACAAGATGATAACATGGACATAACAACAACAATGATCATGATGATATAGCATGTGTGTTGATATGAAAAAATATCTAAGTGTTATGAATTATCTGAGTCATATTATTAGTGCTTTGAATGAATAACAAAATAAAATAAAAAAGTTCCTTTTCAAATGGGCGATAATTGAGATAAAATGTGTTTGATTAGATATTGCAGATCAAACTGGTATATCTTGACAGTTTCAATAGTTCAACATTGTGTCCTTATATCTTACCTTCATAATAAAATACAAATCGATTGAGATTCACCGAAGTCTACTACTTTATTCGTAAATACCGCAAAAGTTTATTTTATTTTTCGCGATAAGTCTAAGTGTCAAACTCTGATGTTGAATGTGAAACGAAGATTACAATGAATAAAAACATGGAGGGGGGGGGGGTTCATTGATTACTAGCACAGCCCCAGGAATAACATACCTTAGCCTTGATTAACATACGTATCGTTATCATGGAATGCCAAATTTCAGGTCAGAGCGCGGAAAAAAATTTGGGCCCCTAAAACCCAAAAGTTGGCCCAAATTTAGAAATTTTGAGGCTAATTTTCTTCTAAATTTGGCCTGAAATTAAAAAATAAAGCCTAAAAAGGCCCAGTTATAACCAATAGGTCCACTTTTTGGAGCCTTAAGGCCTTTTTTGGCCCAAATTTTTTTTCTGGGACCACCCAAGGGGGGGGGGGGGGCGGGCCCCCAGGCCCCCTCCCCTAATCCGCCAGTGGGCTCAGAGCCCATGACCACAGACACGGGAACAAGAGTTCATCCCCTCCCACTCACTATGTATATTATTAGGTAGAAAAATTTATACATTAGCTATACTCTACTGACTGAGGGGGGGGATTAAATCTTCCTGGGCCTGTGACTTGTACAGCCAGAAATCACAGCATATCAAATTAGAGCTAGACGGAGTGGACGACCCCTCGCTCCCATAAAACAATTGAAAAAGATCTGAGTTTATTTAATCATTGTGTCAGACATATTAAAAGTGCCAAAACAACATCAAATAGCCCCTGGCTTGAATTTTTTGTCAAAGTTGGGGAGCCCAACCCTTGCTTCCCCCCATGGGCTTTCTATTGAATGCCCATGTTCCCCCCAAAATTCTTTTTTTTCTCAGTTGGAATCATTGTCTAACACTTTAAATTGTATTTTGGGTTATTGGTCTTCCTTAGAGAAATGGGTTATAACTTCGTCCTGCTCCCACTCCTTTAAAAGTGATTTTTTGTCCAGAAAAAGCATCTTGAATAAGTGAAATATTTTGGCATCCCCTAAAAACAAAACAATCAAATTTAGGGGGTAACCAAACAACCCCCCCCCGACCAATATCTACCATTGATTTACGTGGCAAAAATGACCAGTTTATTCATTTTAGTAAAAACCGCACCCCCCCCCCCTTGAAGAAAAATGTCTGACGGCCCTGTTTCATACGTGAGTTAAAAATCAGGAAACTTTTGAATATTTTTCTTACATATTGTACCATGGGCTCTATCAGGTGAGCTCAGGTGGTAGAGCCCATGATTGTACCATATCGTAGGCCCACTAGGCTATATTCATTCAACATGATTTGTTAAATTTTCTAACACAAATCACCTCCTTGGCCCTCCACTCATTTTGTCCGATTATTTTTTCAGATCGCATTCATCAGAGATTGTGATTGTAGTTTCTTTTAGTTTAAAGCGATTACACAAAATGTGTATTATCATTGACATGTGTTTGTCAATTGAATAAGCTACAGTGTACATGATACTCATTCATTTCTTTATTCATCCTTCAAACACAGGCAGCTACTGAGAACTCGTACCCCAACCTCCATTTCAATTTTCGTTTGAAATATAAACTCCTTATTTTGAAACTCTCTTATTTTGAAATATCCAACGAGTTTACAATAAATAATCTGTAGGTGCAACAAGTAGTGCAGAGGGGCCATTCAACGATCATGTACCAGTGTCAGAATATATTTAAGTTTGGGTATTTCATCAAGACTAACATCTATTTTTATTTTCTACAAAGAAACCTCTTAGATAATCATTATTTCAGCTTATATTCCTCTTGAAACATGGTGGATCTTAAAAATATAAAAGTGGACGTCCCCTTTTTGAAGCTTTGAACTGAATTTACACTTTTTAATACCGAAATTGATAGTTTATCCATACATTTTAAGAAAATAGGTATGAGTCGAAGAAGATGTTAAGCCAACTGTTGCCTTGATAACTCAGAAAAAGTTAAAATTTTCCTATTTTTTCTCTACAAGCTGGATATTATCAAACCATTTTCCTAATAAATGGGAAAAACTGGGATGGCATCATGGTTGTTGGCCGGTGTAAAAGGGTAGGAGGTCCTATCAAATTATGGTCCTACTCTCCATTGATTTATATGGTGACCTAAATACAACTCTTTTTCTCATTATCTTATACGCAATCAGGGCCAGTAAGGGCCGTTAAGAAAGGGGACCATAATCCCTGGGGGACCATTATTTCTTTCACAATTTATTCTTATATAAGGATCATGATTTTAATGTGAAATCACAATCCACATGTCAATAAGATCATACAGTTATGTTTTATGGATAAATACAGTAAATGGAATTCTTGTTAGATCATGAAATTAAGTGACTCTTCCCAATACATTTCCATGTATTCTAGCCCTACTAGCCTTGCCCAAGTCGGTCTCTTTTACTTATCATAAGTTGATTTATTCAAGATCAGAATAAGTAAAAAATACTGACTTGGCAAGGCTATAGCCCGGTGTGAAAGAAATAATATAAATCAATGGAGAGTAGGACCATAATTTGATAGGACCTCCTACCCTTTTACATGAACTTTTAAAGGTTTTTCAAAATCATGTGTCAATTGGGACTTTTTTTAGACAACTAGAATATTTTTAGAATTTGAATAAAGAACAAAGTTGCTTTGATAGAAAATTACACATAGAATTCAAATATGCCATCAAATAGAAGAAAATGCCAGTCCTTAATGGAATCTCCTAAAATCTCATTAAAAAGAGGCTTTAATGAGAATTCAAAGCTACATTAGGACCATTCAGACCTGACTGCGCGTGTAATAAAATCCGTCTGCGTGAAAACCTCTCTCTGGTGAACACCTGTGTCTAGTGGACACAATTCTCAGCTGATAAACCACTGACTTTTGTATAAAAATATCTTTCTGATGTGAACCTCCTACCTACAGTGAACAAGGTGTTCAATGTACACAGGTTTTACGGTATTACAAACGATTTTCTTTATTACAAAAACTACAAAAATGTTTCAGCGACTCATATACTATTTTCAGAATGACTACAGTAAGTATCAGCTGTCAAGGCTTCCAGGACCATATCCCAGTGAAGAGCAAAGGTACGATTCTCACAAACCATCACATGCGGCAACTATTTCTAAAACACTAACGATTCGAATTTAATGAAGAATGAAAATAAAAAAGATCAAAATGTGACCAGATATAATAACCCAGATGCGAGTAGAAATAATCTTGATTTACGTCATTAAAAATTCAAAATTCCGTCAAAGTAATATCATATTTGAAATCTACATGTAAAATTATATCTTGAAATGTGGTTTTAAAAAGTGTTTATCAACTTTGAAAAATTAATTTTCTTTGAAAATGTGACTTCTAGCTCGGGGTGATTCCCCATAGAGCCCATACATAAAATCACAAAAAATGAAATATCTTTTCTTTTAGTGGACAGATAATATTTTACTTTACTGGACATATTTTCATTAGTATAAGTATCAGACACATAAGGGTTATATGACAATTGAGCCACTTAAATTGATAATATTCAAGTTTAAGGGAACTTTCTTATATACCTGCCATGTTAATTGACCCGAATCAGCCACCTGGTGGTCAAACTGGTAACTACCTACTCGCATTTCGGTAATTATGCACCTTTACAAATGATTAGACTTTGCGAAACAGAATGCTCCTCCTCGAAAACGCCTTGAACTTTAGATTGTAAGAAATGCCAAATATTTGATCAAATAAGTTGTTATGTTCAGCAAAAGTGACAAACAAAGTGCTAATGTAAATAAATTATCTATGAACTGTAAAATATTTGATCAAATAATTTGTTATGTTTGGCAAACAAATTATCAAACAATTTTCATGAGTTGAATGCAGTTTGCATGCTGTTCGTCTTTTTTGACAAACATTATTGTTCAGCTTACGTTTTATGGATCGTCTGGATTTTTATCCTCCGAAGAGTTTAAATTACTAAGGCTATACGAAGTAGATTCTTTGTTTTGCGTCCAATTGCTTGCACGATTTTGAGTAAATCAGAAAAAACAAACACATCCAAATAGCAATCATAGGGCTCTGAATGTAACCAATCAATCAGAATCAGATGAAATGGCGGATAATTTGATGTGCGTTAAAATTGATAGTGTTATTGGTTACTTTGGCATACATAGTGTTCTTATTTTTACCCTTGAATTATACACTGATGATCCACTCGATAACGCTGGTTACCGAAACGAACCGTTTCGGTAAAAAAATGTCAGAACGTCGAAGGTACGATTTTTTTCCTTATTTCACACATTGTAGGCAGAATTCCCAGACATTTTTCGCAAACATGTACATTTTCTAAAACATATGATACTGATAGTACAAGTTTGTAAAGAAAAATCGTACCTTCGACGTTCCGACATTTTGTTACCGAAACGAACCGTTGCGGTAACAAGCGTAATCGAGTCGTGGATCACCAGTGTAATAGCTATGTTTAAATATATTGTGTAAAAAATATACAATATACATATCATTTTGTTTTTCAAATACCTTTGGGTAATTAGTTCGTAAAACTTGGACGATGTGTTGGAACATTGATATTCACTTCATGCATCTGTACGTAATTCATTTATACATCAAAACCACCATTTTAATTGGGCCTTGTAAGGCCTTATTTTTTTAATTTGAGGCCAAATTTTGAAGAAAATGGGCCGAAAAATTTCAAAATTTGGGCCCACTTTTAGGTTTTAGGGGCCCAAAAAGGCGGAACTTTTTTTCTCTGACCGGACATTTGCCCCCCCCCTCGTTGATTCCCAGACCCGCCCCTGATTTATGTCATTTCATATAACTTATCTTAGGGTGCATGTTGGGAAATTTTCTGCATTCCCCAATTGAGTCACATGTTATTTTTCAAACAAGAATACTCCTTCCCCACATTGTCTATATCTTCCAGGTTTGCACAAAGAGTGCACTTAGCGCATTTAGACAATGTGGGCAAGGATTTGTGATTCTTGTTTGAAAAATAACATGTGACTCAATTGAGTAATGCAGAAAATTTCCCATCATGCACCCTGACCTTAAACACACGTTTTACAGAGCTGAGACCCGTGTGTGCGTACCTTAAGATGCATGGCTAGCACTCGGAGTCTGTATTATATTGCTCAGTTGTAAACCTTCAGGGTACATTTTGCATAATATATTAGTAACTGAATTATATTTATGTTGTCGCATAAATCTATTGATTTTCAAATAAACCGACCAATGGAAAAAAGGGTCAATAATATCTAAGTTATACGACTGTTCATTATAATAATTTCAGAAAATAACGATCGTGCTCCATTTTCTATTCGGCGCAAAGTTGTGGTTTTTGTCTTTCCAGTTTAACTGCTGATTTCGACTTAAAGTAAGTGAACAACTTCAAATATATTAGTAACAGTTTCATTCGTATAGTATTAAGATTATTTTACTGTATATTTCAACTATCTGCATTTCGTACTTCTTGAGAAATATGATGTTTAATGATGTTTTTTAATTTCATTGCATATTTGAAACTCTGGCACAGTGGCCTAGTTTGAAAACAACACTGAGTAACAAAGTGTGCAAATGATACATGGTACATTTACATTTGAATTTAGTACTATTTTCTTTGCCTAGTTTAATCTTGTTTATTTTTGATTGTAGTTTTTGAACGATTGCAATAGCTACGTGTCTTAGAAAATTGATATAAATTCTAGATATTCTGTAACGGTGTGACAGGTCATTGACATTAGGGGAGAGTGGGGTAAGACGGAACGAAAATCTACACCTATCTTTGATAGGCTACTGTTCATTAAACATTGGTTTCCTTGAAAATGTTTATAATATTTTACAAAGCAGAGCTACTGAAAATGATTTTAAAATTAATTTATATTATCTGTACGTACAGACTATTTCATATCAAAACCGTCTCCCATGTCAATGGGGTGAACTTTACCAGGCGTGGGGTACGACGGAACAGGTGGGGTAAGGCGGAACTGTTGATATTATCTGAAGGAAATCTAAATAAAATGCTCCGATTTGATGTTTTTTCATATACTTTTATTTTAAGTTCAATAGCACACGTGACGGTGTTTTTTGTAACATAACCAATATGGAACGATTTTCCAAAAAGCAGTTGCTACCCATGTAAAGATGGCACAATGTTTAATATATTTTAAGAAAAGTTAATACAATGACTAACCTGTCGACTATGCTCATACACAGATCAACACTAGGTGGAAAACGTGTTCTCTTTGCATTAACACATGAAAAGTTTCCAAATTAGTGGAATGACATTGACCTCAGGTCACTTAATCATGGGTCGCCAAGGGTCACAGCACCCTCCAAGGTCCTTGAAACGCCAAAAACCTAAATATTGACCTTTGACCTTGAGATGACCTTGACTCATGGACCTTGACCTTGACTTCAGGTCACGTTATCATGAGTTGGCAAGGGTCACAGCAGCCCCCTAGGTATTAAAAAGTAAAATACCTAGATACTGACATTTGACCTTGGAATGACCTTGACCTTAGTTCACTAAATCATGGGTCACAGATGTTCACATCCCCAATGACCTTAAATCACCAAATACCTAGATAATGACCTTTGGCCTTGGAATGTCCTTGAAAATGAAAATGGGGTAGGACAGAAGGGTCGTTTATAATTTTTCTTAAATTACAGGTTTAAAAATTGTATATTTAGAAATATATTATACGTATGTTATGTTTTTGATTCTACGGGCGATCAAAACCGTATGAAATGTTATAAGAATGGATAAAAAGTGATATATCTACCCTTATTCAGCATGTCTAAAATGGTTCAAAACATGATTGAATAATGTGATAACGTTCAAAGAGACAATGCAAGGGAGTTAATCACTTATTCCTAGTTAAAGATAATTGAAATTGTTTTCCCCTTTCAATATGTTTAACATGTCATTAACATGCAAAATGTAACCACCTGCCATTTGTTACAGACGCCGAACACTAGCCGCCTAACACCATCCACAAAAGTTTGAGACTATATAAGAAGGTTACAGTAATTACTTCAAACATGTTTCCCTGTCTGAATAATTATGAACTAAACATAGAATAGATCTGGGTTGTATCTTACTTAGTACTAAACATTCTAAAATAAATGTGCTAATTCCTAATACAAGTATAAATCAAATATTGATCGTTGGATTATGCATCAGTGATTTCCTTTTCTTCTTTCCTTCCCCCTATGACTCCTGATTCAAAAGCTCGCATACTATTTTAGTAGCTTTAGTTTTAAAGCCTCTGTCGATATGATTCCGCGTTTTATAAATATTATATTCTTGTTCAACATCAATAGGGAAAACTCCCCTATGACTCCTGATTCAAAAGCTCGCATACTATTTTAGTAGCTTTAGTTTTAAAGCCTCTGTCGATATGATTCCCCGTTTTATAAATATTATATTCTTGTTCAACATCAATAGGGAAAACTCCCCTATGACTCCTGATTCAAAAGCTCGCATACTATTTTAGTAGCTTTAGTTTTAAAGCCTCTGTCGATATGATTCCCCGTTTTATAAATATTATATTCTTGTTCAACATCAATAGGGAAAACTCCCCTATGACTCCTGATTCAAAAGCTCGCATACTATTTTAGTAGCTTTAGTATTAAAGCCTCTGTCGATATGATTCCCCGTTTTATAAATATTATATTCTTGTTCAACATCAATAGGGAAAACTCCCCTATGACTCCTGATTCAAAAGCTCGACTAATTTCAAAATATTCACAATTCCCTTTTCGAACCATTTAGTTGCTTTATAAATAATTTCACTTGTCCTGCATTGTGAAAACCAACGTCACTGTAATCAGCTCTTTTATGGAATAATGTTGTAACGAAAAATTCATAATAGCCCCCATTTTTTGCTTTTTTGTCTTGCACCATGTGAGCTCAGTACCCGCGGTACTATTTTTATTTGTAACTAAGAATCATAGCTTTTGATCTTGGAATTTCACGTTTGAATCATGGAAAAGCAGAAAATAGTTGGGGAATACTGATTTGAAATTGTGGCCACCCTGTAAACGTGCATGGATTTAAATGAATTTAAATGTGAATATCTTGACTAAGTTGAAAATAAAGTGAAGTATACTGGTTTGTTGAGATGGACATGTCCACAGTCTAACATCAATTTCACCACAGTGCATTATCTAAACATGCAGATCTTTCCCAACTTTATATAGATAAACTTGAGCAGGGTTTCGAGATTTTCTAACAATAGATATAATGAAAAATTAATTCATTTTAAGGTACAATATGTTTACCATATATTTCTGCGGCAGTATCAGAGGTGGACGCCAAGATGCAGACCTCTACCAACGCATCATCAAGAAGCTGAAGAAATATGGCAAAGTACTTACTGAATTTGTTGGGAGTGACGAGTTAATGGGTGAACGTAAGGACTGTTTAAAATCAATTTCAAAAATGATTATTAAAGGCGCACTATACTTAATTTAGAAGAAGAAAAAAATCATTGAAACATGTTACTCACACACTTGCTCAAATATGACACAAAGTTTGATTTGCTTTAATATTGGACCAAGAAAAAAATAACTCACATAGAAAAAGGCATTTGAAATTCAGAGATCATTAGACATGCATGTACATGCTAAACAAATAACTATTGATTTAAAAGATGGCGACACTTCTATAAAAATGAATGTATCATGTAATACAAACAACTTCGCCATCTTTCAATGACATTGATAAAAACTTGATGTGTAAAGCTTGACAGATCAAAAATATTTTTTGATAATTTATTGTAAGCTTTGATGTGGTTCATTTGAGCTGCGTTGGTGTCAAATGAAAGATAAGGTTCTTATCAATACATTGGACATAGGCTACTATGAAATTTAAATGTAAGTCTTTATTTTGCCCAAAAATGTTGAAAATTCCCAAAGTGGGCCTTTAAGTTGTATGTCCCCTTGCATCTAGAATTCGGATTCTCCTCAGAACTATAATTTTAGTCTTGCTTCAAACGATGTAAAACAGATCTAGTTCCTAGCTGTTGTTGCATTTCAAGTTAGACATAACACGTGATACAAATGCTAAACGTTTCTGTAACTTTCTGCCTGGAATGTTGCCCTGGGTATTGTGATGTTATGTAACCATAGCAACTATAGCTCTACCCAAGTTTAATGATTTTTAGAAACTTACAGTTTTAGTTACAATACTTGAAAGTACAGCATGAAGACAATAAGTGGATATTTAACAAAATACCAGCGCCATTCCTATCACCTTTGGAACACCCTGTACATATGTTTAAAGATTTAATTTTTACAGTAATTTGATGCCGTCAGACATGAGAAGTTTATCCACGTTGAGACCTGGTGAATCAACCTGCCAAAAAAGTTATTTTCTGTCTCTTACAGTTGATGCAACATTGGACAATGATGAGGTGAAAATACATAATAACGACATTGGGTGGCTATCTACATCATCGGGTGAGCGAAATGTCATATAATATTATGTTGCTAGATTACTTAGTGATCTGTTTTATGTGAATTCTCAACCTACCATTTCAAAGGTTACAGCAGCCCAAAAGGATCTTAAAACACCAAATATTAAGAAATTGACTTTTGTTCTTGGACTGACCTTGACCAATAAACGTTGATCTTAACCTCATGGCAAGGATCTCAGCAGCCCCAAGTGCCTTAAACCGCCAAATACCTATATTTTGACTTTTGAATGACCTTGGCCCCATGTTACCTAATCATTGGTTGTCAAGGGTCATTTCACCCCAAAAGAGTCTTAAGACGTCAATTACCTAGATAATGACCTTGGAATGACCTTGACCTATAAACGTTTACCTTAAACTCAGGTCACCTGATCATCAGGGATTGGAACTAGATATCAAGTATTAGGGTCGTTCGAAAAATTTTGCACAAAAGCTTCTCAAGAGAAGAGATTTTATCATTTTTATCATTTGGATTCAAAATGTTTCGAATTCCGCATGCAAATTAATAAAGCTACGATGGTAAATAACCACAAATAAATGCTCAAACAACCGCGATAGTATAATTCCATATTGGAATACATCGCAATGTATGTACAGGGTGGTCCAAAAATGGGACACTAGTGTTTCAAGAATAAATATTGATTTCCTTGATGAAAACATGTCATATTATGTACCAGTGGATGGGGAATTTACTTATATTTAATTTGGTCATATTAAGTTCAAAATCATGATGTCTGCCAACCAGCGTCTATAATAAAAATAAAAATGTCTTTTTCATTTCAAAACGGGTTTTCCAAAATTTGCAAAAACCAAGTTTTTTTGTCAACTTTATTTACATAAACAGATATTCAATATGTCCATCATTTTGATTTATTGTAGCCCTCAATTTTGGCCTAAAACTGGTCAATAGCATCATTGACATGCTGTTGAGACAATGATTTCACCTCTGAAGTCGATAAATAAATAAAGTTGGCAATAAAACTTGGATTTTGCAAGTTTTGGAAAACGCGTTTTGAAACGAAAATGACATCATTTATATTATGGACGCTGGTTGACAGACATTATGATAAATTTGAACTTATGATATACCAAATACCAAACTAAAGATAAGTAAATTCCTTATCTATTGGTATATAATATGACATGTTTTCTTCAAGAAAATCAATATTTATTTTTGAAATATGACTGTCCCATTTTTTTGGACCACCCTGTACATGTATGTATGTTACTTAGTTCCAAAGCCTTCTCTATTCTATATTCCGGCTTTGAGTGATTGTTTACATCCGCCCTGATATTTAATATTTGTAAATCATGGTGACACACGTACAGTTGTTATGGCGCAATTATATGAAACACACATTTATGTACACATTTGCAGAATATCAGGTTATATCCCCGCTCCAATCGATTGTTATATATATTTTAATTATGCTAGGTGGAATTTCATTTCAAAATGGCCTCCATTTTTCTGCTGAGTGAGCTGTATAAATGGCGGATCTGTTGAGTTTGATCGGGTTTTCCGGAAAATAAATTTTGAAATATCTTGATCCAGACATGCAACGCTTCAACTTAAACATGATTAATATTCTTGTAAATATTTATAAGAATCATTAAATAGGAGTTCTAGGTGCGTGTGACGCTTTTTATAGATTACATACGAAATCAATGAAGTTACAACTACTGTAGCTGTAAGCTAGAGACTCGAGTAATATGTATGTATGTATGTGTTTTATTTATTTCCTCCATAAATCAAGATTACAAACATTTTAATATACAAACTCACGATCATATAAGTTGAATATTTAAAATACCACGGGCTTTCAAGAGAAATTATTTATAATTGCACTTTTTGAATTACTTTAATATAAACGTTTTCATTCTATAAATTCTATTAACATATCTAACATGCGATCTATTTTAACAGAACACAATAAGATAAATTGTTCCCAAGTAACTTGAACACGGTTGATTACATGTAGCATGTCTGTCCTACTGCCAAGCAATGTTTCGAGAAAAATCTCTTGATCCACGGTGCCCATGTCAATCAAAGTTTGTTTCGATCACAAACTGTGCGCCTAACAATATTGCATCATTCAAGAATTGGAGTCTGTATTTCGGACGGAATGCGTGACAAGTCCGGACGGAATGCGTACGTTTTTTTTCGGCGTTCGTATTTTTGTTGTATCGGCGAACTTTTTTAGTTTTTCTACAGAAATATTTTTACTTGACAACAGTTTCTAAATAGCTTTGAAATCTCGCTAATTCTCGTTTTTACATCAGATTATAAGAGATTTGCACTTTTTTCCTCTAATGAATTACTTTTCTTATTTTTGATAGCATATTTGGATTCAGTGACAAATTTTCTCAAAATATAGCTTTTATTTAAACAGTTATGTCATTTAAATCATTTTTCATGACATTTTTAAAAAACTTGGGCCAAATCTCCACTGGTGCAATGCTGAAATTCATTAAAACCTTGGTTTATTCGTATGACAACCAATATTTTCATGGTTAATCACAATATGTGCATTGACAGGGTCATCCAATAGTATGCCATTCAAGTTTCAGACAGATTCAGCCAACACTCTTTGATAAATGATGAAATTAAGTGACTGTTGCAAGTTTCTGTTGGAGTGAGTGGAGGTCTGGCCCTAGAGAATCAAAGACAAACAAGGGTGACATCTATTATGTCAGCACTTTTTCCACTATTACCAAGTAAAATGCGTATTTGCGTGACATTTTCTGTCACGCAAAAAAACTGGCGTGACTTCAAATTCTTCAGCAAATGCGTGACAAATACGCAAATTGCGGGACAGTTGACAGGCCTGGCCGATGGGTATTGAAATGCGGTAACAGTTAAAAACCACATTTCCCATGTTATTTTCCCATAGGGAAAACTCATGCTGTCCATTGTTTTCAGCATGATTTTGGTAATCGAAAATTGATATCTTCAAAATTAGACAGTAGATAGAAAAATACTAATACTGGGCCGCCACGGGCCGCCACGGGCCGCCACGGGCCCGGGGCTTTCAAAATCTCTGAGAGATAAAGATGAGCAGGAGATATTGATGAGCAGGAGATAAATTAATTGAATGGGGATTAGGAGATAACTTAATTGGATGGGGCTTTCATCTTAAATGTGTAAAAATGTTAGATAAGATGCGCATGACATCATTGTTATCTTAAATGGGTGAGAGATAAGATGCGCATGACATCATTGTTATCTTAAATGGGTGAGAGATAAGATGCGCATGACATCATTGTTATCTTAAAAATCACTACATCAAATTACTACATCAAATAACTGAGAAAAAATTAATGTACAATATTGTTTAATTTATTTGCATTTATTTTACAAACAAAAGTACCACATAATCTAATTAATCCTTATTATCACTAGCAGAATCATTGGTTTCATCAGATTCATTATCACTAGATTCACTAGCTTTGTCATTGTCACTAGAGTCAGTATACGATTCATCTGAAACATTTGCATCATCATAAAGTCCTACATTAATAATGTCTTCTGTCATATAGTTGTGGTGTAACATGGTCTTCTTAAAAGCATCTTCAAACGGTATGCCTGTACTCATTAATTGCTGGATGTCTACCATGATTTCTTTATGTGTTGGACTACATTGTAAATCTAGTAAATCTTCAACTAAATATTTGTAGTATGTCTTAAACGTTTCTCTTATTTTGGGTAGGAATTTTTGATTCGCCATATATCTTCTATCATACTCAGAATTCCCCTTCTGTTTGTCTATATATTTTGCCTCTTGTTCTTCAATTTGATCTTTAAATTTCTTAATAGCTTTATCCTTTAGCCGTATATACACAGGGTTTTCCTGAAACCCTTCAGTGCATAGCTTCTTCATTGGAGGGTCGTCTATATCCTCATTCAATGGACAGTTTTGGATATGATTCTGTAGATCCATTCTTGATATTAACATGACGCCACAATAGTCACAATGACATATTTCTTTCATGTTGTAATTTTTGTTGTCAGAATGTATAACGTTGCTGGGGATAGTATCTTTTATACTCGCAGTGAACTGATATGGAGGTTTCATTATTGAAGTATCATACTGTGACATCTCTTTAAATGGGTTTTCATTAGAATTCAAATCATATGGTAGTGCTATGTCATTGGATTGTACTGTCTTAGTAAATGGTTCTCCCTTTAGATGACTACTATCATGCTCATTCATTGTTTGATGAGTCTTATCATAACACAGTCTTAAATGCTCTGGGGTTTCTTGCTTTAGATCAATCAGTAAATGCCCATATGGTTTTAGAGTAGCTGCATTATAAGCATCTAAGAGTTTGTGACTGTTCCCAGGATACATCTGCTGAGAAAGTACTCTTACTTGGTTTTGATCTCTTGGATTCTTGTACAATACAATGTAATGTGTATTCAAGCTGATGGTTCGATTCTCCCTTCCATGATGGAAGATATTCTGCAGTAAACAGATTACACTCAGGTTTCTGTGATGACTCCCTTTAGTAAACAAATCAGAGATCTTCCTGTCTTTGGTAGCATCTGACATCAAGTCATCAACAATCATTAAATTACGCACTCTAGGATTTAAGAAATCTGGACTGTTTAATTCATCTGGAATTCCCATCATGAATTCTAGTCCAGGATGTATGTTCTTAATCTCTATGTAAAGTGGTTGCCATTGTCCAAAACACCAGATAATACGCTGTGGAGGGGGTTGGATGCATTGCTCTACATTTTCCAAAAGTTGCTTGACAAAGGTAGTTTTCCCACAGCCTGTGGGACCAGTGACCAACATGGTAAAGGGGTGATGCAACACTTTGTCCATACCTACATGTATGTCTTCTTTACCTAGTGCAGAGTGCATGCCTTTGTGTCTCGCTAAACTTGAAGCATGTCTAAATTCTTTACCACAATGACAGTAATACATGTTACTGCCTTAAAGACTGATAACAAAATGGATGCAATTCATAATTTCGTTCTGTTATGTATATGTGTTCAAAGGCATGTTCAATAATGCTAATTTAAATGTATGCTAACAGATGCTAATGCTAATAGATGCTAATGGTAATGCTAAGTAATGCTAACAGATGCTAATGCTAATGCTAACAGATGCTATGCTAACACGTGCTAACAGATGTTAATGCTAATAGATGCTAATGGTAATGCTAACAGATGCTAATGCTAATGCTAACAGATACTAATGCTAATGCTAACAGATGCTAATGCTAATAGATGCTAATGGTAATGCTAAGTAATGCTAACAGATACTAACATATGCTAATGATGATGCTAACAGATACTAATGCTAATGCTAACAGATGCTAATGCTAATAGATGCTTATGGTAATGCTAAGTAATGCTAACAGATACTAACATATGCTAATGATGATGCTAATAGATGCTAATGGTAATGCTAACAGATGCTAATGCTAATGCTAACAGATGCTAATGCTAATGCTAATGCTAACAGATGCTAACATATGCTAATGATGATGCTAACAGATGCTAATGGTAATGCTAACAGATGCTAATGGTAATGCTAACAGATGCTAATGGTAATGCTAACAGATGCTAATGCTAATGCTAACAGATGCTAACATATGCTAATGATGATGCTAACAGATGCTAATGCTAATGCTAACAGATACTAATGCTAATGCTAACAGATGCTAACATATGCTAATGATGATGCTAACAGATGCTAATGGTAATGCTAACAGATGCTAATGATAATGCTAACATATGCTAATGATAATGCTAACAGATGCTAATGAGGTAATGCTAACTAATGTTCATACATATTCAAACCATTTGTAAATGACTGTAAATAGCAAACAACATTTGAAACTTTAGTTATTTATTTTTATTCATATCGTTCAGTATTATATACAAATAACTTTAATCGTCCATCCTTGCCGGGATACCAGGTGGTTTGTATAAGAATGTCCGTTTCTTTCTTGTATTCGAAGTGTTTTGTTTTTTCTGTTTAAATGGATGTTTCTTCTTTATATTTACAGAGTTTTGTTGTTTCTCTTTAGATGGTCTATACTCTTCATATTTCATATCTTCATGTTGACGTTTCAATTGTGCCTTTGCTCTGTCGACAACTGCAGTCATGGGTGAAATGATTTGTACCGGTTTAGTATCTTCTTTAATGTCATCTATGCCTATCCACCCTCTTCCTGTTTGAGATACTTTCAATCTATTCTGTCTCCCAGCTCGAATAAGTTTCAACCAATGTTCTGGGTTGTCTACATATGGTACTAGTTTCATGGTTTTTAGTTGATGTGTATATATCAAGTATGAGGATTGAAATGATAAAGATTTGAATATTTCACTCAATATATATTGTCAAGTGGCATCAATATCAACTTCTTATCAACATCTGATGTCGTGACATTCTTAGAAACTGATGTCGTGAATTAATGTAGTTCTTGTTGTTATTGACCATTCCAGATTAGAAAGTTGAAAGATTATTTATATTCTTAAGATACATTAAATAGATTTTTCTGTCAAACTTCTGGAACCTTCCAGAATAATGACTCATCGCTATAATCTGTTTTTGAAAAAGGGGATTAACACTGTAAACAAAAGATGTTCTAGAATATGAAGGATTAACATTGTGATGACACAATTAAATGTCAACATTCAATTATTACATTAAAAGACCATTATTGTTGAAATCAAGTATAGTAAGATCAAATGGTCAATTCAATATAGGACTTAAATAAATAAACCTTTTCAACGGTCAATTCAATATATGACTTAAATAAATAAACCTTTTCATCTGTACACATATTTAATCCAAAATCCAGTTCTCTTTCCTTTTATGCGAACAGTATTTGTTTGACCAGCTCAATAGGATTATTGATTCTTTTCAATGTTGGGTTAATATTGAAAGTAGAATTGTAAACACTGTTAATGGATTATACCAAATTTAAAATAATATTAAAGGGATTTATTTTGTACTTTACTATTCAGTCCAAGAAATACATTTCTCACCCATTTAAGATAACAATGATGTCATGCGCATCTTATCTCTCACCCATTTAAGATAACAATGATGTCATGCGCATCTTATCTAACATTTTTACACATTTAAGATGAAAGCCCCATCCAATTAACTTATCTCCTAATCATGATTCATATTCATACACATCCACGACATCATGACATCATCCCCCGGATGATGTCATGGTCATGTGACCTTAAAACATCCAGAAAATCTGCCCACCCCCGCCCACCCCGGCCTGATACCTGACATTTTATATCTACTTTAGACTTTCAATACCATTCTACTTTTGAAGATGTTTTACACCCCTTATTGAATAATGTTTTCATGCAATAAAAATCAGAAAAAGAAGATACTAGATTTTGAGCAAATAAGTTCAGCATTTTGAAAAGATTGTTGACGTGGGGTCCCTATTTATAATTTTTCGAATCGTTCGTTTGATTTATTTTTTTTATCATGTGGACTTCACTTGAAAGTAAACCTATTGTTTTAATAGAAACCACTGTATTTAATAAATAAATAAAAATAAATAAATTTAATAAATACTATTTATGCCCAGAAGGTACTAAAGGTGAAAGATATGACCGTCTAAAATCACTTGCCATACTGCACATGGACCTTTAAGCCGTATCCATCCCGATCTCGCTCCTGAAAAGCGAACTCAATTAACGTTTTACTCAATACACGAAATGAAAATTATATTTCAATAAACTTAGGCTTTATATTTTAACTTTTTATATCAATTCATTGATCTGCTCCAGAAAAATATGAGTGTGAAAATTTCACAATCTTTAAAAACTACCTGTGGACTTAATTAATGCGTAACTTAAAGTATGTTTTTGAATTTTGGAACTTTATGAGGTATAATGTACCTAGAACCTCTGTAGGTGTCGTATGGAATACATCTGTTATGTACGGTCGGTTTCGGATACAGAGTTTATCCATCGGGAAATATATGTTTTTTGATACACATATTTCCCTTGGGATAAATAAACCCTGTATCCAAAACCTCCCAGCACATAACCCTTATGTTTTTACTTGACTCAAATATGTGGTCTATTCCAGCTGTTGTTGCGGAGGTTACTCAACCATCTTTAGGGGTGGGCTATGAACTAGGCCGTGCTGTTGCTATGGACAAGAAGGTCCTTTGCCTTTACAGACCTCAACCAGACAAATGTATGTATTTCTTTGCAATAATCTCCTTAGTTGTCTCTTAACTTATTTTCCTGTCTCACTCGGTATCGGGGGTCGTATGAAATCACTCACATCTATTTGTCCTGCTCGTCTGTCTGTTTGCATGTCAATCCATTTGTCCATCCCTGACAATATTCTTGCTATCGTCTGAGAATAACGAACTATTATTATCACCTTGCCTAGCCAGTTCTAGGGGTTTTAGTGCTAGTTTAGAAGGCATTCATTTTACTATATCGACCTGAGCAATATGTGACGTCATAGTTGCAGTCCATAATGGCGGTCAATAATGCAATTAATGACCGGCAATTTTCCCCGGGAAATTAGATATCGTTCAGTGCGTAAGAAGCCATGGTCATTAACGGTGGTAATAATACTAATAACGTCATTTCTGCGGGCAATATAGTGAAATATTGGACCTTGGGCGTTCGGCCTGGGCCTCCGGCCCTTGGTCCAATATTGCCCTTCGAAATGACGTTATTGTACTAATCATTAGCTCACATGACTTTGGTGACCTAATTGCCCACGTGTCTCCCATTTCTTCCTACAAGAAGGACAGTATGCGTTTCCAGTGTCTGTCCTTTGTATGGTTGTAAAACACCCCGTGAAGTCTTCCTATTCGAATATAGATAGACAAAGTGGGAGTTCAAATGAACAAACTGAAGGGTAAAGCACCTCACATTGGTCCAGACTAACATTTTTGTCTGTTGTTCAGACATTTATTGTCAGTTGCTGTATGGAAATCCTAAAGAGGTCATTTTGATATGTATTCTATGTGCACTCCATAACCTTAAAACACTCCACAGCGTGCATGTTTAAAAACTATAGGGTCTCACTCGTGTGTCTGTCCGTCTACTGTCAGCATATTGGTAGCTAATTCAAAATCATTCACGACAATTGAAACGGTTTCAAACTTGATAAATCTGTCAATGAAAAGCACTCACTTGTTCCATTGGTATCGTCTCAGATCCCACATTGTTTCAAAATGACAGCCCTTTCTTATTGCGAAAAATAGGTTTTCAGCTCTTTTTTGTCATAACTCCACAAATGCTCGCCAGCCATTTAATATTGTACAGATACCTTAATTTACTACTTATTATGTATACAAGTTTTGGCAATACAAGTCGTAAAGATTCAAAATGGCCGCCACTTGTATTGCGGAAAATCAAATTAAAAATATTGAATCCAGTATCCATGGTACTATTTTTGGATGTTGTTTTCGTTCACTTTCCTTTTTGTCACAAATTCTACTAAACCCCCTATAATTAATTTGATGTAATTCCAGTACTTTCCGCAATGATCCGTGGTGCTAACAACGACAAGAACTTCCTGTGCCGAGACTATGAGGAGTCCGAGCTTGATACTCTTCTCGAGAACTTTTTCCAAACTATCGTTGGAATCAACCCCGAAGCCGCTCAGGATGAGGCTAGTAATGGTGCTAACCCTAGCGAAGCTGTTGGTGGTGAGACGCTGTAGGCAAAAGTTGACGCTGATTGTGCACAATTACCCTTTGACGTTCAGCATCAATTCGAAGAGAAAATCCAATGTTTTATTTACTTTTAGTTGTTGTCCAGCGATATTCTGTAGAGACAGACATAGTAATATAGATATTTTGTCTTCCTTTATATTCGACGGAAAACCAGTGTAAATTTTAATAAATCAGTTTTATGTATATTTAAGTTACCATGTCTGGCTAAATTATGATTTAGACATGAAAGACATTTAACTTCATCTCTATTTTTATGTTTACATGACATTTTATAAACTGAGTTGTAATTAATACTTGTTTAGTTGTCATTTAACAATTTAGGTTTATCTTTAAAATGTATTTTGATTCATGGAATTTTTAGGCACATTTGAATACTAGTATTTTGCTCATATCTATAATTGTGAAAGATTTACATATTTTTACTGAGATGCGATTTTACGCCATCAAAAGTAAAGGGACGTATAAACAGTATATATTCTAAGGATTTGGGTTGCTATTTGCCAGTGTGAGCCACAAGTATATTGTATGTAGTGTGACATGTAATTTTCATTTGCGAATGGAATATATGGAAATATCTTAGGATAGGCGACTGTCAGTCATCCTTCATTCAAAGGACTTCATTTATTACTCAATTCAGAAATATGGAAAGAAGTGAAATACCCTTGGACCAATGATGACTTCCAGTCACAATTCAGTAAATAACCAGAACTTCTTGCTCTAATATTTCATCATATACCACTTTATTTCATCTTGATTAGTGACATAATTATGATTTGAACTCTGGTATATCCCAGGATAGACAACTACATGTATAGTCGCATATTTCGAGTTTATGAGACTGTGAGCATAATTTCATATTGCCACAAAAGTACAATTTGGGGTTAAGTTAGTTTTTATATTAGATTTTTAATAGAAACTTCAGGGTAAAATATAGCAGAGATATAAAGCACAGATTGTAATGCTTAGAATGTTTCCATTACAAAAGATCGATGACAGAAACTACCTGTATTTGACAGTTATAGGTGAGGGGGTCATTAGCCTTAAAAGCTATAGCTTTCCGACACCGTTTCCAGGAATTTTATTTGAGCAAATTTTGTTGAACATAAACTCTTATGCTGATACTGTAGAAAAATACAGATTTTCCGTCATTGATGTTTTGAAATGCTCCCTAATCTCATCTATATCACTATCAACGTTGCTCATGTTATATTCCATCCTCCTAAGCAGGTGTCTAGAATCCGTACCTCCTTCCTCCCCCTGCTATAACCAATTTGGAAGCGCCCGATTTAACTGAATCACGTGATCTAATTATGCGCAATGACTTATACATGATTTCTGTCGCAGTGTTGCGACAGCCAATCAGATTGCGAGTTCTTAATCGGGGAAATGGTAACAGCTTATCGCAGGGGGTAAAAAGAGAGAATATACAAGTTCTGGATTTTTAAGCCCTGTGATCGGAGGATGGTTATATTCCGATTGATATTTTGGTCATTAAGCCAAGATCTTACCATGATATTCATTTTTTGTATTTTTGACATATTTACACAAAGATGTTTTATATAGAATTAAATATTGGAAACTGAATTTTATTATTTTGTTTTTCAGAAGGATTTGAGTTGGTAACTTGAGGTTAACATTCTGTTAACAAGTGGTTTTAGCCCAGACCTACATGTACATAATTATGTGTTGATAGTAGTCGTAGCCAGCGGGTGGGGTATGGGCACGAACGCACGTCCTCCCATAACTTATAATAAATAGAACCCTCAGATCGAAGATGAAAGGAGCTCTTGTTGGGTTTCCTTAAAGTTTTTAGTCACCCTTCCTTTTTGGCATTTGTGCTTATATATTTAAAATGTTTTTTTTAATTTCTAGCTCATTTTTGAAGGAAGTTGCATAAATGTTTGTAGAATTCAAAATTTTTCTTTGGCTCGCTAAGTTGTTTGACGATGGCCACTCTCCTTGACTGAACGCTGGCTTGCCCCTGTAATATATAGTGTATTAGTTTTTTATCAAGCACAAAAAGATCGATGCTCACTTTTGCCTAAAACAACCACTTTAGAGTGTTAACCAAAAGAAGTTAGATTCAGACCCTGGTCTGTGTTCTAGTTTCCCATTTCTAAGGTGCGGAAACTCACTTTTATCAATTAGCGATAAATTTTATCAATTAGCGATAAAGATAAATATCAATTATCGATAAATTTGATAATTTTGATACATGGCACGCATTGAATTAGCATCAGAGATAATATCAGATTTTGATAATTTTCAATTTTAGCTGATATTATCAGCTTATGCTAATTTCACTCATGCCCTTTTCTTCATAACATTGACTCCAGACCCCAAATTTTTTAAGCGATGCGATAGTTTTCATAAATTATCAAATTTAGCTGATATTATCTATTTTTTAGCGATAAAAGCGACTGATTTGATAGATATCAAATTCATCAGTTTTAGCTGATATTATCAGCTAATGCTAATTTTACGAGTACATTTTTCTTCGTAACATTGATTCTGATACCCCGGCAGGCACTTTATCACCTAACATTACATCTTCATTTTCAATCTCTAAATTACAATCTCTAAATTAGGAATTAAAACAAGCAAGTGTCATTAAAGTTTCATCTCCAATTAATTTGTCAAATCACATTCTGATGCTCGTCAAACATCTTTCTGCTTCACCTGAAACATGCTCAGATATTATAAGGTATATTCTCTGATCTGAGCACATCATGGGAAGAGTTATAACTGTCAATAAGTGTGATAGGTATCATTGTAATCCACAGGCCCAGGAAGAAGTTTTAACCCTCCTCCATACTCACTGTATAATGTAAGAAAAAAATACATAACACAGTGAGGGGGATTTAAATCTTCTCCCTGAGCCTGTGATGTAATCATTTACCTTAATGTCAATACACATGCCCGTAGCCAGCTTTTTGTAAGGGGGGGGGGGGCTCGAAACCCCCGCAACCCCCCCGCAACCCCCCCCCCCCCAAAAAAAGGCTACGGGCCTGATACACTACATAACATAATAGGCATTGTATTTTACAGCAGATATTAGCACAGGCACAGTTACACAAGTTTTATGAGATGAAATATGATGCCACATTGATCTTAGAAGCATTACGATGTACTCCCGGGAATTTTATTCAAATGTTTCGTCTAGTGTATTTATAATTAGAAATTTCTAACGAGCGTGTTCCATTTTCCATTCTGAATCAATTATCGGCGCGAAGTTGCGGTCTTTGTCTTTCCAGTTTAACTGTTGATTTCTACTAAAAGTAAGTAAACAATTTAAAATATATTAGTAACATTTTCTTTCACATAATGTAAAGATGATACTGGTATATATTATAACTTTGTGCATTTTGTAATTCTCGAGAAATATAATGTTTTGTGATGTTCTTTTCATTGTATTTGAAACTCCGGCGGCATGGCCTAGTTTGACAACACCTGTCAAAGTGTACAAATGACACCTGGTAGATTTGAATTAAGTACTCTCCGGTTATTTCTTTGTTCAGTTTTATTTTGTAAAATTTTTAATGGTACTTTTTGAACGATTCTAATGTACTTTTAGAGTTACTTCTCATAGCAAATTGATTTTCTGGATACGATTGTTTTTTACAGTGTGACAGGTTATTGACCTACTTACTAAAAATGAATCTAAATTTGAACTCAATTTCCAAATAACAAAGGATCTAGCTATGTTGGACCTGATATGCTCACAGGATCTTGTAGCACCTTATATGGTATTGTTTATGATGACTGATATGGGGCTTTATATAGATAGAGAAGGAGTATAACGCCGACAAATTTCGAAAACTGGAAGTAAAAAAAATATATGAATTATTGGTCAGAATTTTATAATTAGGGTCTCATTTTGAAAAAAAATCTTTCTTCTGTAAGATAAATGTCACTGCCTAACATTTAGATAAATTTAAATAAAAAAGTTTCTTTACTTTCTGATACCCATGCTAACGACCGTTATCTGTTCTATACAACCAAAACTCACCTTTATAGCGATTTCTCCCCAAATCTTTCGCCAATTAACTTGTCAGAATCATGGTTGGTCATCATGGAATCATTGACCCACTAGAGATTTGTAGGGATGCTGCGCTTATGCTGTTCAGCCTGTAAAAATATGTTATTTTGCCGTTTTAAAAATGAAATTTGATTTCGTAGATATTTTGGCAAATTCTAGCGGCCATCTTTGTGAATAATTATGACGTAAATTTTGAACCAATCAAATTGCAGAACCCCGGAGAAGATCGAAATTCATAATATCTATTTATGATTTAAAATATATTTGGGCAGTAAAACATTAAAAAAAACAAAAGATAAATATATATTTTTGTTTATTAACTATTTACATAATTTTTAATAGCCCCTTTCTATATAGAATTATGAAAGGTCAGACGGGTCAAGTTTACTACGTCATTATTTCAAGATGGCGGCAGAGAATCGTTCGACAGACATATTTTTAAAATTAGTATGCTTTTACACATTTTTGAACAATAATAGTACAATTGGAACAGCGTATACCATTGCATATGTGTGTAATATAATGACACGTATGTTGCCGCTAAATAATTTTTCTTAAAAATGAGACCCTTATTGTGGAATTCTGAACAATAGTTTTTTTTATTTTTTCATTTACAGAACCCGGAAGTAGTGAAGTGTTATTACCCTTATTACTTATACTATAGGGCCTATCATAGTGCTCATCTCATATCATAGTGCTACATGTCTCTGTGGATATGCTGTGTGTAAATTGGTGATAGTTAAACTGTGACTGGCTAGGCACTTATTTTTTGTTATTTCACTGCTTAAGGTGACTGTTAACTTAATCGATTTTCAGAAAAA